GACTGTAAAGGGCTGGAGTTGATGTGTTAGACTGTAAAGGGCTGGAGTTGATGTGTTAGACTGTAAGGGCTAGAGTTGATGTGTTAGACTGTAAGGGCTTGATGTGTTAGACAGTAAAGGGCTGGAGTTGATGTGTTAGACTGTAAAGGGCTGGAGTTGATGTGTTAGACTGTAAAGGCCTGGAGTTGATGTGTTAGACTGTAAAGGGCTGGAGCTGATGTGTTAGACTGTAAAGGGCTGGAGTTGATGTGTTAGACTGTAAAGGGCTGGAGTTGATGTGTTAGACTTTAAAGGGCTGGAGTTGATGTGTTAGTCTATAAAGGGTTGATGTGTTAGACTGCAAAGGGTTGATGTGTTAGACTGTAAAGGATTGATGTGTTAGACTGTAAAGGGCTGGAGTTGATGTGTTAGTCTATAAAGGGTTGATGTGTTAGACTGCAAAGGGTTGATGTGTTAGACTGTAAAGGATTGATGTGTTAGACTGTAAAGGGCTGGAGTTGATGTGTTAGACTGTAAAGGGCTGGAGTTGATGTGTTAGACTGTAAAGGGCTGGAGTTGATGTGTTAGACTGTAAAGGGCTGGAGTTGATGCGTTAGACTGTAAAGGGCTGGAGTTGATGTGTTAGACTGTAAAGGGCTGGAGTTGATGTGTTAGACTGTAAAGGGCTGGAGTTGATGTGTTAGACTGTAAAGAGTTGATGTGTTAGACTGTAAAGGGCTGGAGTTGATGTGTTAGACTGTAAAGGGCTGGAGTTGATGTGTTAGACTGTAAAGGGCTGGAGTTGATGTGCTAGACTGTAAAGGGCTGGAGTTGATGTGTTAGACTGTAAAGGGCTGGAGTTGATATGTTAGACTGTAAAGGGCTGGAGTTGATGTGTTAGACTTTAAAGGGCTGGAGTTGATGTGTTAGTCTATAAAGGGTTGATGTGTTAGACTGCAAAGGGTTGATGTGTTAGACTGTAAAGGATTGATGTGTTAGACTGTAAAAGGCTGGTGTTGATGTCTGACTCTGGAACTTCTCTCTCCCTGCCCCAGACTGCCAGAACTGTGCAGGGGACGGCAGCTGCAGTCAGTTCACACGGGAGTGCAACAAAGGCTGTATTCCAGGCTTTGTTGGTGACACCTGCGCTGAAAGTAAGTTTAATGGGGTGAATGGTGACACCTGCAATGATAGAAAGTTAATGGGGTGAATGGTGATACCTGATATGATAGAAAGTTAATGGGGTGAATGGTGATACCTGATATGATAGAAAGTTAATGGGGGGTTAGTTTTATCGCCTGTGGTGAAAGAAAGTTTAAAGGGTTAGTGATGATACCTACTGTGATAGAACGTTTAGCGGGATTGATGTTGACATGCGATGTGAGAATGTTTCGTGCCGACACTGGCGTTGAATCTTTAACAGGTTTAAGGGTGACACCTGCATTAAAAGTAGGTTTAACGGGCGGTGTTAGTGGTGACGCCTGCATTAAAAGTAGGTTTAACGGGCGGGGTTAGTGGTGACACCTGCATTAAAAGTAGGTTTAACAGGCGGGGTTAGTGGTGACACCTGCATTAAAAGTAGGTTTAACGGGCGGGGTTAGTTGTGACGCCTGCGGTGACAGTAAGTGTAACGGGAGTTATTGGTAGTTATTGTTTACTTATAAGTACATGCTGTACGTATCCCAGAACACATACATATATATATATATATATATATATATATATATATATATATATATATATATATTATATATATATATATATATATATATATATATATATATATATATATATATATATATATATATATATATATATATATATATATATATATATATATATATATATATATATATATATATTCTAACGGTGTGTAGCGGATGAGATCTCGTGGTTTCCTGCATTTGTTGCCATGCTAGTCATCATCTCTGTGGTAGTTGTGTGTGGAGAGTTCTGTATAGCAAGGACCAAGAAGAAGAAACCAAAGAACCCCGACACGGAGCCATTGGCTGAGGCCACTGAGGGTCCCCAGGCGAGGATAGAACACAAACATGAACCGGAGTCAGATGAATAGAGCTGCTCGCTCTATTTCACTCCAAAAAACTGTTATCTTTGATTTTTATCTTGTTTACTGCTTAACAAGTATTGCTATGATTGCTTCTTGGTTTTATTTTTTATATTTAATCTTTAATTTAAAAATTCTTTGTAAATATACAAAGGCCTTTTTACTTTGACCTTTTCACAGTCAAACTTTGTTATCCCTGAATTCTAAACACCAAGAAGACATTTTGTTTCTCTAATGTGTTGTGTTCATTCTGAACACAACACAATATTTCATATTATAGTAAACGAGCCGACCCGCGGCATATCATACGCGGCTATTTAGTTTTTTTATTTTCTACTTTTCAGTAATTCATAATTTGTGAATTCGACAGTACCAATGCTGCCACTGAAAATATTTGCTTTAAAACACTATCAGTAGGTCGTTAAGGACGATACTACCCCCACCCTCCTTTCCACCAACCTCTACCCAACCCCTCCCCCCCCCCCGTGAAAGCAGCCTCCTCTTAGTTACCTCCCCTAAGTTTCAAACTAAATTATCTGCCCCTAGTAACCGTCACTAAACCCGGCTTTACGATTGTAAACATTTAGAGTGAACCAAAGCTTACCAGACCATGTAGGGGTGGGGTGGTAGGGAGCGCGCTTACAGCTTGTTTTCTAGCGTCTCCAAGAAGAGAATTATATATATAGATATAGTTGTATGGATAAGTTACCAGAGCTGTCGTTTTGATTGCGAGATACCCAGCGACCCTCTGGAATTCATTACGCTAGATTGTCCCACCATAATTAAAGTTAAGTCTTAATAGTTGATTTTTCTATTACACAATAGTAATGAGGTTGTTCTTAGAAGATCTAGTTTTAATTAGTTGTTACGTATTCTTTAAGAATTATTTTTACTGACGTTGTACATTAGTTAACTAGTTTCTAATACCAAATGGTGATCAAAATTCACATACAATTTCTGTAAACAATGAGTTGAGTAATCTCATTCCACTCTGTAAACAGATGCAACTCATGTGATTGTTCCTTGTTGTGTTGACGATGGCTAAGTGTAGCTGTTGTTTTTTTTTTAATTTTCTATAACTTCTGAATGAATAAAATTACGGATTTTTTAATCAAAACTGAAACTTATTGATTATTTCATGGAATCACTTGAAACAAAATGATCTGTTATATTGTTTTGTCTATGAAAGTTCTTTATTTGATGTGTTTAGTTGTGTATGATTGGATTTATTACGTGAGAATTGCTTTACAGTGGAGTAGTAATCTTCCGTCGAGATACGACTCAGCTTTATAGATATAACTTGACTTTGTGCTCTTTACTTCTATTGAATGCAAAGGACTTCAACCATACTCTTCCACTGTGTGCGGTCCCCAGCTGTGTGTGTTGCATTCTCTCTAGACATCCCTGCAGTTTATTGTTCTTTGAGAAGATTCCGTGTCCAGGTCCTGCGCGCCTTACTGCAGGTTTGACGCATTGCGTCATAAGTCTCCTATGTGGAGCCTTGGTTCTTCCGAAGACTGGGGCCAATTCAGATCTAGTTTCTGTGATAATACTTTGTTTTAAGTATTTTGTTTTTCTTACTTTGTTTTAAATATTTTGTTTTTCTTACTTTGTTTTAAGTATTTTATTTTTCTTACTTTGTTTTAAGTATTTTGTTTTTCTTACTTTGTTTTAAGTATTTTGTATTTCTTACTTTGTTTTAAGTATTTTGTTTTTCTTACTTTGTTTTAAGTATTTTATTTTTCTTACTTTGTTTTAAGTATTTTGTTTTTCTTACTTTGTTTTAAGTATTTTCTTTTTCTTACTTTGTTTTAAGTATTTTGTTTTTCTTACTTTGTTTTAAGTATTTTCTTTTTCTTACTTTGTTTTAAGTATTTTGTTTTTCTTACTTTGTTTTAAGTATTTTATTTTTCTTACTTTGTTTTAAGTATTTTGTTTTTCTTACTTTGTTTTAAGTATTTTCTTTTTCTTACTTTGTTTTAAGTATTTTGTTTTTCTTACTTTGTTTTAAGTATTTTCTTTTTCTTACTTTGTTTTAAGTATTTTGTTTTTCTTACTTTGTTTTAAATATTTTGTTTTTCTTACTTTGTTTTAAATATTTTGTTTTTCTTACTTTGTTTTAAATATTTTGTTTTTCTTACTTTGTTTTAAATATTTTGTTTTATGTGGACGAGTCGTTAGCCCATGGCACAACCTCGAAGTTGGAGGACAGAGCACAATGTTATGGCCCCCTCCTAAAGGACCAAAGCACAATGTTATGACCCCTACCCACAGGACCAGAGCACACTGTTATGGCCCCTACCCACAGGACCAGAGCACAATGTTATGGTCCCTACCCACAGGACCAGGGCACACGTCTGGTCCCTACCCACACACCTGCTTGAAGCACTAGGTTCCCCCCTGCACACAAGCCATCGCAACACGCCAAGGCGGTGTGCTATTAAGGTTGACGTTTAATGATACAGAAAACAAAACTATTTTTATCCGGAGTTTAAAAAGACGAGTCAGACACAAACTGGAGTTTCTGGAACGAAGAGCATGTAGGAAGAGTTGAGGGAGGTGGGTCTAAAAACTGTGACGTGGTGTTTTGTTGGTATTCGTTGCGTATGGTACAACCTCGTACCCATAGGGTGGGAGTTGGATCAATTAGCCTAACGTCGTTTATGGAAGACACTTTACTAACTAGTTGTTTAACCATATGAAAAAGTGTTACATTGTCGTTGATAAAAAGAATAACCCAACACAATAAATTACACTATAGTAATCTACACTTTCAAACAATCTAACCTAACTAACCAAACAATATAACCTAACTAACCAAACAGATCTAGATTTGGCCATCGAACTACATAAATCAAGCCACACAACGAACATAGATCTAGCTCTAACAATATTTCACAACAAAAATTACAATATAAAATAACAAATGTATTTTATATAATCATCCATACAAAAGTGATCACAGACGTACAATCAGATATAGATGTATATAATAAGAAAAGTATCCTTGTAGAGTCTGACATAAATACGGCAGGTGAAGTAGAGTTCACCTGTTGTTAATATTCATCGCATATCTTCGTCTAGCTAAAGATACATCTAATACAAGAAGTGATCGTAAACAGGGCTATTTAAAACAAGTATTGAGATATTGCAGACAATCATACAGTGAGTTCAAGCAGATCTGTACTCTAGATCTGTACACAGGCAGGTAGTTTGATCCAGGTGTATCTGTACATTGATCTGTCTTGTAGTTGAATATAGTCTCTAGAGGTACGTAGATGGGTTTGACATACCCTGAATTTCGATGCCTTTGAAAACAAAGGAAACTAATTATAGAATGACAATCTTTTTAATAATAATGTCGATATATTTACATGTTTTCATCATACCACCTACTTTACCATACATTTAATGCATATAAATCACAAATACCGAGTAAATGACTGTTGTCTTTTATTTTATGACAAACGTATATTTATAGATATTGTAAACTAGGTGTTGATTTTTCAAGCAGATAGTGTAGTTAGAATATTGTTTGGGTTACAACTGAGGTTTAGGTTAAGTATGTTTATGCCTAAATTTTGATGCGTTATTGTAGACGAAATATGCTCAATATATCATATCTGGTTCAATAGTTCTGTTATAAATATAGATTTTTTATCTTTTCAGCATGTCTTGACGTGTTTTAGAACTCAACTAATTGATACATCACAGGTAATAGAATTTAGCAATTATGTAAAGACGTTTTCCAAACTCTCGTTAAATTACAAAAATCTATGCATGGGAAAAGGAATATAAAACTTATTTGAGTCTATCAATTTATAATGTAAAACTTCTTAATTTATATCATCTTTAAAATAAATAGGATATTTTTGAAAAACTTGACACAAATCTGACCTATAAATTATTTTTAAGTTAAATATTATAGAAAACTAAAATATGCTTCAACTTTCACGAAGTAGTAGTGTACTTATAATCTTAAAATAGACATTAATACGCTAAAGCTAAACATAACGAGATGGAGAAATTTCTATTTTACATCGGCAAGTGTCGTTTTACTTTGTGAATCAAGCTACGATTTGTGTTTGTTGAAAAATAAACCTGCCGCAAGTTGCCTAGTAAGAACAAGTGGCTGAGCGAGACCCACTTCAGAAAAGAAATGTCGATGAAATGAATAAGCTAAAAATATGCAATGCTAAAAACCTTTTATAAATAAGAACTATGCCCAGAGGCGTTGCGAGGCTGGGGAGGGGGTGACACCAATTGGTGTGGGTGGGTTGGGGTGATACCAAGGCAAATAAAATAGCAAAATATATAGAAGAAAAATGCTTTCTGAAAGGTTGCATTGTTAATTTTGAACTCGAATAATGTGTTGACAAATTCACGTAATTTGTCAAAATGGGGGGGGGGGGTGTGGGGGGGGGGGGGGCGACACCAATGGTATATATATATATATATATATATATATATATATATATATATATATATATATATATATATAGCCTATAATTTTTTTTATTTGGTGTGGAGGGAAGGGAGTGACACCATGAGGTGCCGCACCGGGTGTCTCCACTGACTATGCCAAGTTAACAAATATTACAAGCAAATATATTAAACTAGCTGTAACCAAACCTAATAATTTTGGAAACGTGGAGATTCGTACCTGAAATTCCATCCTGAGCCGAACCTGACCGCCAGGTGACAACCTGCGCATGGCTGGTTATTGCTACTGCAGGTGTGGTGGCTACTGCAGGTGTGGGACTCGGGGGAGTCAGCTCTTCGTTGTAATCTTTCACCAGCTTTGGTATTCTGACAGCGTCAATCAGCCAGCCAATACCTAAGAATCCTAGGGTAAAGATGTACAACACCCCCCAACCAGGGCGGTTTAAATAGAAGTTGTGAGCGCCCAGTAATCCAAGCGTCAACCATAGAAGGTAAGCTTCCTCGAGTACCAGCGTCTCTGGGGATCTCTTGCCTATAATCTCATCGTTAGCACGGGATACCAGCCAAGGCATGCGGATCAGATCGAGCACCCAACCTAGTCCAAAAACGCCCAGAGAGAGTTGATAACCTACCGACCAAGGACTACGGTTCAAATACCAATGATGAATCCCAAAAAAGCCTCCGGTTATACAATAAAGATAAGCGGTGTAAATATTTTTCTTCGTTCGCCTCAGTATAAGTTCATCTTCGTTTTTCATTTTCACTAATGTTGGTATTTGGTACAGATCTCTAATCCACGCTATTCCCAAACCGCCCAAACTAAATGTATACCGAATAGCCGTGCGTCCGTTACCCAAATAGTACTGGTGAAACCCAAGTAACCCAAATGGCAGCCATAACATGTAAGCTTCTGAAACCTTCCATAATTGTTTTCTTTTATGTGGGTAATTATACTCTCTGACCAGCTCTGGGATACGGAACCAGTCGACGAAATAACCAACTCCTAGAAGTCCAAGTGTGCACGCATAAAGTTTACCCCATATGCGGCGCTTCAGGTAAAAATGATGCGCTCCCAGCAAACCAAGGGGAGATAACGCTAACACATAGGCTAAAAATAAACTTTTTTTCTTGATAGGTGGACTGTAGCGAACTAGGGACTCAGGCAGGGGAGAAAATTGGTTTTGTCCATGGTGGTCTGCATTAGGATATGCAATGGTGTTTTCTGGTATATGTCTGAAAATATAAGTTATTATTTATGCATAGAATTTGCCCAATAAATTTTTGTGACTGTTTATCCTACAACATACCTACCACGACAGTGAAACAAAAATGCCGTCACAGTATAATTAATCTACCACTATAGTATATAAAATCTACCACCAAAAAAAAAAAAAAAAAAAAAAAAAAAAAAAAAAAAAAAATCTACACCCTGTAACCCTGTGACAGACCTACCACCACAGTATCCTATAACCAGTGTTTATTCCAGACATTTTTCTCCGGGGAGGGGGCACTTGAAATTTTCGGGGGGCGGTAGACTTTCTTCGGGGGGGGGGGTAGATTTTCTTCGGGGAGCCTCTACCCCCTTAAGAGATGCCTGGAAGAAACACTGCCTATAACCCAAAAATAAACAATGGGCACCTAACTAATAGCATTGCGAGGTCTTATTTGGCTGCCCACAACAAGTAATTTCATACCTTATGCTTAACAATTTCACCATTGTTTAAACAACGTCGCTTGTCAAGGGCAGTGAAGAATTTTTCTCTGAATTAAAACTCTCTCAATATCTGTAGCAACAATAATTAGTGTGTGTAATTTTGAACATACATACAGAGGCGTAGCGACCCTCCCAGCTCCCGGGGCGAACTTTCAGTTTAGCGCCCCCATATATATATGTATATATATATATATATATATATATATATATATATATATATATATATATATATATATATATATATATTTATAACTACTCTTACCTTTGGTTTGGATTCTAGAAATATGTTTCGTACACAGACCATCTACACGTCTTGGAATGCTCCATATTCTAGAAATGAGTCTGGCAATTGTTCTAGTTACACCACGTTCAAGTTTCAATTATATTTTGATACGTCTAACAGCATAACAATGATTTTAACGTGCCCAGTACAAGAATGCCGCGCTAGACTGAATATTTCGGTCAAACAATCCAACCAGGAAGTTACCCTTAGCAAAACAAATGACGCAAGCGTCTGCAGTCGCATTTGTCATCACTGTTGCAGGGAGATCATGTGATTGAGCCATCATTCCTGCGAGGTTAGCCAGTAGTGCCGGTATAAAAAGTCGTGACAGTAAGGAAACGCCATAATGTTATTTCTCTCGGGAAAAATCCCCTTAGCCAGTACACAAAGTATTCACGGTTAGCCTCTTGACTAACCAGAGATGATCGCCATGAATTGAATCAACAAAAATTTACAAGCTTTTATTTAGTTCGCAACGTCTGTTCGTTCGTTTGTTTGTGGGTTTGTGGCAAATCTTGTAACTTAATTTTGACCCACTTCGAATGCTGCGATTTTGTTCAAAATTTCCAGATACGTTCGACTTCGATGACAATACAAGTCTATTTTTTTTTATTTAATTATAAGTTCAATTAGTCATTAAATATAATTTAACGGTTTCAAAAGTAAGGAGAGATAACAAAATTAAATAACTCGATAGATTACTAATTTCAATAACAGAAGGGGAGATAAAAAAGCAAGACGCTATCAGGGTAATAGTCTGATAAACTGTGGTTCACGAAAATGTTTACAATCGTAAAGCCGTTCGATCTGGTGAAGGCTGTTAGGGGCAGATAACTTAAGTTTTTAAGTTATTTGAAACTAAGGGGGGAGGGGGTGGAGGGTAATAAAATCCACTTGATCTAATTGCTGTAGTCTGTTAACTGTCGTCACAGACAGCTGCTTTCACTAAGGGGGGGGGGGCTTCTTTCACGAGCTACTGATAGTGTTTTAAAGCAAATATTTTTAGTTACAGCATTGGTAGAGTAGAATTCATAGATTATGAATGACTAAAAAGTAGAAAATAAAATATGTAATAATTATCATTAAAAAAGTTTTTTAAAAACCCACGTTTTCTGATTGAACTAAAAGGTAGAAAATAAATGCTATACATCACAATAATGCAAGCGATCACTCTACTATAAGCGATCGCAAACTGCGTGCGCATTATGACAAAAAATGAAAAACGTGGTGCGCCGAAGTAAAAGTTTTTTTATCGGTCATTGTTAATATAAGATGTAAAAGTTATATTACTATTGATTAGATAATACTATTGAGTTTTATTAGGGAGCTTGTAGAGAGTCAACAGTATTAAAAACTGTAAGAAAATCACGGCGCCCCTCGTTTTTCATTTTTCTTCCCTGAAAATTTCAGCGCGCTAGCTAACTGGGAAATGCCCGAAATTTCGATCGCAAGATTTGATGGAAAAACAAACAGACGCGAAAGCAAGTTAAAGAAAACGTGGGAAAAAGATCTCATGAGCAACCGAAGCTTTTATGAAAGAAAGAAAATTAGTTTTATTTTCTTATTTTCAGTGCATTTAATTAAAAAGCTTGCAATTAGACATTTTTTTTATATTTGTTTCATAATTGTTTTCTTTAAACGTACAAAAATATTCTAAAACTACACAATAGTCGTAGAAATGATCTTTTACTAAAATTCACGTAAATTCAAACATTTTTTTTAAAAACGATGTAACAATCTTGAAACTTCACATATATGACAGAACATAGTATAGAATGTTCAAGCATATTAAGTAATTCATACTTCACATCACCACAGCATTGTAGGATACATTCAGTGGCTGACTATGAATAGACAGTTTTTAGCTTGTCTGTACTGTAAACCTTTGTATAGTCTGGTAGTTTTAATCCATCCATCACTGTCTGTACTGTAAACCTTTGCATAGTCTGGTCGTTTTAATCCATCCATCACTGTCTGTACTGTAAACCTTTGTATAGTCTGATAGTTTTAATCCATCCATTACTGTCTGTACTGTAAACCTTTGTATAGTCTGGTAGTTTTAATCCATCCATTAATGTCTGTACTGTGATCACGTCGAATGGCCATGTAGCTTAATACAGTAACTCGAATGACGTGGATGGGTTTGACATACCTTGAGTTTCAATGCCTTAAAAAATCAAACAAAAAAGTTATAAAGTGAAAATAATATCGATCTTTTAATTATTCAGTCCTATTTTCGTGAGTTTTCGTCATGTCTTTAAATCAACATTCATTCGATGCACATAGATCATTGGTACAAGAGTCAATAATTCTTATCTTTATCCTAAGACAAACTTGTAAGTGCGGAAATAGTAAATAAAAACATTTACAAGCAATTAATGTAGTTATAACATCGATGGGGTCACAAGTTCAGGTTTTTAAGAAAGATTAGAGTGCAGGTCAAAATTTCTATACTGATATAAGCGTTGCTATCAAAGAAACACATAGTTATCGCTATTAGTTCAGTGCCATGTATATATATATATATATATATATATATATATATATATATATATATATATATATATATATATATATATATATATATATATATATATATATATATATGTATATATATATATATGTATATATATATATAAATATATATATATATATATATATATATATATATATATATATATATATATATATATATATATATATATATATATATATATATATATATATATATATATATATATGCTGAAATTTCTCTGCACGTCTTAACGCGTTTTAGTAATAAAGTAATAGATATCTAAATTACATAAAACTGAACAATTTCTTTATTGGTGCGTTCTTAAAAGTATTAACTTGACACTGCATAATACAAGAATCTTTTGATATACGATCTGTCGAGCGAACGATATTTAGCTTTTAAGTTAAATGGAAATGAGCGGATTCTTTAAAAACAATCACCCCGACAACAATGTCCATCGGAGCTATGAAATTACATTGTCCTAACTCATTTCCACAACATTTTAAAACGATTTAGTAAAGAATACTGAACAGCAGCATATAACGTAAATTATATTCATAAAATTTAGTACTATTCCATAAAAGAATGGATAAAATGTATCATAGACGAATGTAAATGGTACTTGAATTAAAAAACGTAGAGAGATAAGCAGCTAGAAGTTGAACGAAATGAAGCTCATTCATCGTAAACCTCCACTACCATCTTCCGAAATCTTAAATCGGTTGATCTCCAAAGTAAATACATATTATAAAACATTTTTAATGCTCCTTTATTATGTTTTTATACATGACACATAGATGACATTGTGTCATGTATAAATACTTTTCTTATTAGAACAAGATGTGAAATAAAACAATTCTGGGATTCTTTTGGGGCTGGAACGGATTAACAGCATTTCACATAATTCCAATGGAGAGAAGAATTCTTTGACATACAGCAATTGGACGTGCGGCAAGGTAACGGCAGAAACTATATTCGTATCTCGAGGTACCCACTATACTCGTTAAAAATAACACTAATCTAAATATTAGTAGTCCCTGTGCACAGAAATGCCATTTAAAACCGTTCCAGATATATAATGTAAAACTTGATAAATATTATGTGTATTAAAAAATATCGATAAGTAAAATAAAAAGGAGTATTTCTGGAAAACAAATGACATACGTAAGAGTGCTTATATTTTAGGCTTTTAACAAACAAGGATCTGTGAGCCTTAACTAGAAATTATCTGTTAGTTAAGTAATATAAACTAATACAATAAAATATCCGAATTTACGTGAAGAAATAGTGTATTTAAAATTAAAGTATACAAATATTTAAACAACAAAACTACATCTATGGGGCTTAGGAAAACGACTCTTCAGTTTTCAAACCCGAGACGCACCACATCGTGAATGTTCTCGGTCTGTGTGGATGAAACTTCACCTACTCGCTTTTTGAATCTTACATCAAGTGAGCAGGCTAGCACTTACTAGTGTATAAGAGAGAATTATGTATGTGTTACAGTATTATATTGGCGAAGTTTTTAAATTATTTTTTTTGGTAAGAATTATGCTCAAGTAACAGGTATTACAGGTGAAAGCTATGGCAATTTATAAATTATTATACGTGAGTACCATTAGAAGCTTTTAAATATTAATGCGGAGCTAGATGTGGCAAAGCGTGATAAGGAGGGTAACATGGACGAGATTCTTACCTGAAATTTCATCTTGTGCAGAAAGCGACTGCCATGTGAATACCTGTGAAAAGCTTGTTGTTGCTACTGTAGGTATGGGGGCTACTGTAGCTATGGGGGCTACTGTATGTGTTGGGGCTACAGTAGGTGTGGGGGCTACAGTAGGTGTGGGGGCTACATTAAGTGTGGGGGCTACTGTATGTGTGGGGTCTACCGTATGTGTGGTGTCTACTGCATGTGTGGGCGCTACTGTAGAAATGGGGGCCTCTGAGGGACTTCGATATGCAAGCTTTTTGTTAAAATCCTCAACCAAATATGGCAATCGCACAAAGTCAACCAACCAACCGATGCCCAGGATACCGAGGGTAAAAAAGTAAAGGATCCCCCAGCACACACGATTCAAATAAAAGTGATGAAAGCCCAGCAAGCCAAAAAAAAACCAGAGCTGGTAGGCATCTACGATACACGCTGTGCCGGGTAATCTCTTCCCACTAATCTCATCGTTTGCATGCGACACTAACGATGGTATGCGGAAAAAATCCAGCACGCATCCCAGTCCCAGAAACCCCAGCGTTATTTGGTAAAGTATTGACCAAGCGGAACGCTTCAAATACCAGTGGTGAATCCCAAAAATACCGCCTGTTATATAAAGAAGATAAGCGATGTAAATGCTTTTCTTTTTATATTTTCGAACAATTTTCGGTGTATTTTTAGTTTTCACTAAAATGGGTATTTTGAAGAGATCTCTGATACAAGCAAATCCACAAAGTCCAAAGGTTAATGCATACGTTATACCCCGACTGTAATGACCCAAATAGAAACGATGAAACCCAAGTAACCCAAATGGCAGCCATAAAATGTAAGCTTCTGAAACCTTCCATAATTGTTTTCTTTTATGTGGGTAATTATATTCTCTGACCAGCCATGGGATACGGAACCAGTCGACGAAATAACCAACTCCCAGAAGTCCAAGTGTGCAGGCATAAAGTTTACCCCATATGCGGCGCTTCAGGTAAAAATGATGCGCTCCCAGCAAGCCAAGGGGAGATAACGCTAACACATAGGCTAAAAATAAACTTTTTTTCTTGGCAGGTGGACAGTAGCTAGTTAGGGACTCGGGCAGAGGTGAAAACTTGTCTCGCACATAGTAGGTTGAAGCAGGGAATGGGGGAGTGGCATTAGTTGTTCCTGGTTCTTCGGTGATGCTCGGTGGCGGCTCCCTGAAACCATACAATATGTTATTATTTTAATATGTGCTGTAAGGGATTGATGGGACGGAGTAGAGAGCTGGACTGCTGACCCGTAAGTCTAGAGTTCGAATCCTGGTTCAAGTCTGTAGACCGTCCCTCTCAGTGTTTCTTCCAGACTTTTTTCTCCGGGGGGGGGGGCACTTTAAATTTTCGGGGGGGGGGGAGGGGCGGTAAACTTTCTTCGGTAAAAAAATTTTGGGGGGGCTTTGCCCCCCCTTCCTCCCCGAAGAGATGCCTGGAAGAAACTCTGGTCCCTCTGATGGATACCTAACTCACGTTAGGGAAAGTAAAGGCGGCTGGGCATAGTGCTGACCACACTATCTCTTCATATGCCGGGGTCAGAGAAACAGGTGAACTCTACTTCACTTGCCCCATAGACCGTAAGGTTTGAAAGGGAAACTTTACTTACTATAAGGGATTGATTGTGCTATCTGCGAGCTGGGATATAAGTAACGAATCCACTTTAGATCTAGTGATCTATTGGGCTGATGAGGTAGAGTTCATGTGTTTATTGATCTCGGCATATAAAGGGAAGGTGTGGTCAGCAATATGCCCACCCGCCTTTACTTTCCCTGAGTTAAGTACCCGTCAGAGCTGGGTGGACTCAGGGACGTTCTATTGGCTCGGACCCTACTTCGAACTCGAGACTTTCGGGTTAGCAGCCAGCGCTCTACCTAAGCGGCCACACCGTCCCACAAGCGCTGGGGCACACAACTTAAAATTTAAAAATGAGACTACGTTATGCCGATGAAATTTAATTTAATGTCATAATTTCTTAAAGTGCTAATTTTAAATTTTATATAAATACATGCATGAAGAGCCCCCAACCAATAAATAAAACAGCATTCAGTAAATAAAAAAGCATTTGGTGTAACCAATAGACTTCATTTAGCATACAAGTAAAACTCGAACGGTCGCTAGTCATGTCATGCCTTCCTGTATGAATTGCGAGCTTGGACCCTAACGCAGACCTCCAGAGAAGAAGCCAGGCCCTGGATAGGAGATGTCTACGTAGACTTCTAGCTATCTTATACAGAGACCAAATAACTAATGAAGAAATCAGTAAAGTTATCACTAATGCGATTGGTCCATTTGAGAGGCTACTGATCACAGTCATAACAATAAAATTGAGTGCTATGGGCATGTCATTGTCGCACGAGCCAATGGCATGTCCCAAACAATAATGCAGGGTATTGTGCAAGTAAGGACAAGGATTTGAAGTAAACGACATCAAAGTTTGGACTAGGCTGCCCGTTACAGAACTAATCAGAGCAGTTGAAGAACGAGACAGATGGTGCAAAATTAAAAGGAAAAACAGCTGAGGTTCCCAAACTACTGAAGGTTAAGGGATGATTGAGTGACAAATTAACAAATATCAAATGTAGAAAAAGATTTTTAACGATGAGGTCAATAGCTCTTTAACAATAAATGTTAGCGCTATCGTGGAACGTGCTAAAAATAAGGACACCTAATTTATTTTCCTATTGGTAACAAGTTCTAACGTGTCTATAGATACATCAAAACAATACTGCACTAGACATGACAGCCAGGGTGACTTCAATACATTTACCAGAATTATCACACCTGTCTCAGTGTCAACAAGTTCTTACCTTATGTTAGACCATTGCGCCATCTCAACTATAATATCCAGCCAGGTTACGTAATGAGCTGTTGCATTAAAAACATCGTCTTCTCAACATCTAAACCAATTAAGTAATATATATATATATATATATATATATATATATATATATATATATATATATATATAGTCTTATATATATAGTCTTATATATATAGTCTTATATATATATATATATATATATATATATATATATATATATATATATATATATATATATATATATATATATATATATATATATATATATATATATATATATACTATATCTTACCTTGACTTAAATGCTTCCTTAACTTTTCCTACCCAACTAGCCAGCTATCATGTAACTGTGCTAGAAAGACGACATCCAACCTTAATGTTGCCCCACTGAATCCGCAAGTACTTAGCATTAATATTAATAAGCATACGTGCTACGCTTTGATGGATAATTCGGCCGGTCGATCAAACACGGATGTTGTGTAAGCAAAACATACGACGTGTGTAGAATAAATTCTTCTGTGACCGTTGGAGCGAGACGGCATGGTTGAGTGATAGCGGGTGTACATTTAGCTGACAAAAAAAGTTCCCATTCGTATCTGACAGTCTATGGGGCAGATAAAGCAGTGGCGTAGCGAGGAGGGGGCGGGGGTGCGAACTACACCGCTTGACACCATTTAGAGGGGGTGCCACCAAGGCAAAAAATAGCAAAATTTATAGAGAAAAATGATAATTCCACTTAATTAAGTGATTAATTCGAGTGTTAAATAGTCTTTTAAGAGCAAATTTGACAAACCCCGACAAGGGTGGATGTGGGGGTGTAAATCGAAAGTTTGAGGGGGGGAGGGGACGAATCGAAAGTTTAAGGGGGAGGGTGCAAATGGAAAATTGAAACTTTGTCCCCGGGCGCCGGGAAGGGTTGCTACGCCTCGGGGGGGGGGGGGTGACACCATTAAGTGCCGCACCGGGTGACACCCGACCTCGCAACGCCACTGAGATGAAGTAAGTAACATCAGGGTTGGACTCATGGACGTGATATGACTCTAACCAGAGAGATCCGAACTTAAGATTTTCGGGTTAGCAGTTGAATGCTCTACCATTTGACCACGCCGTTCCATCTCAAGCTGGACCTATAAGCGTTATGTCATTATGAAGGATACGTGATAACAATGAATTCCAGCAATGGGTATAGCTTTCTAATTATGCTGCTTAATTGGTCGCAATTAATGACATATTAATATTACAATGCTTGTAATTTCTATCAATGCAAAATAAAATAAACTCACAAATTACTTTATTATAGAAAGATAATTTTCTTTTAATGTAACGTGTTTTTGCTATGTTTTAAATTGTATAACAAGAGTTGCCACCATTTTTAATCCCTTTTCCGCCTTGTAACACATAGCCTCAAAAGTGAATCAGCCCCCCTGTGGTGGTGTAATGTGTATGAAAGGTGAATACGTGGAACGGATCACTGCGTGTGTGTATGTATCATGTAGTGAGACGCGAGGCTGGGTGTGTTGACGTGTATGTTGTTGTACGGAGTGAACGAGGGTACAAGGGAAGCGACTGGTCGGGTGACAGTGGCTGTGGTTAAGTTAGAGTCGATGATGTTGATCTATCAATTTTATTATATTATGTCCCCTCCATGGACATTGGTCACTGGCAAGAGATTTCCAGTGTTGCCAGCAGTGTTTTTTTCGGACATTTTTCAGATGAGTTTCAGTTGCCATACTCCTCACCCCCTCCGTCTTCCCCCCCCCCCCCCCTACCACAACAGATGAAAAGAACCAGATACTTTATGGGCGGTGTGTTAGGCGGTCGCTGATTAAATTATATATTTTCTACACAATTTCTATACATTTTTCTATTCTTCTCTGGTGCGGGGAGAGGGGACTTTGTCTCCAGGTCTTCCGTTTTTAAAGAAACCCTATTTATTTGAGAACCGCTGACTCAAATTCAACTTATTTCCGTGAAGGGAAATCACTCTAACTATTAATAGATCTTAGTCAAAACCGAAAGTGTACACAAACATTTTAATCTAAAATTCTAGGACTAAGATCTATTAATATTTGTATGAAGTAGGCCTAGTGTAGTATTTTGTTGTCGTTTAATACTCAGGAAAGTATTTATTATAAGTATAAGTTAATGAGACATAAAAAGGCTATGGAATTTTAAGCAGGCCTAGCTCACTGTTGAGTGATTGTTGGTTGACTGACTGTGTTCTCATTTGGCGATTTGGCAATGAAAGTTTTTCAGTTTTGTGTTTTGGTATGCGGAATTGCAGGTAGGCCATGGCCATAGAATCTAGATCTACTCCATAGGGCCTACTTTTTTAAGGCTTAGTTTATATCTAGATAGGGACGGAGTGGTCTAGCGGTAGAGAGCTGGACTGCTAACCCGTAAGTCTCGACCGAGTTTGAATCCGGGTTAAAGTCAGTAGACCGTCCCTGAGTCCACCCAACTCTGATGGGTACCTAACCCATGTTAGGGAAAGTAAAGGCGACTGTGCATAGTGCTGACCACACTATCTCTTCATATGCCGAGGTCACAGAAACAAGTGAACTCTACTTCACTTGCCCCATAGACCGTCAGGTTTGAAAGGGAAACTTTACTTTACTTTTATATCTAGATCTGGTAAAACTCCATTTTAGCGTATTTTATCCTCTGCTTCTTGTTTACCTCCAGTTGAGCGTATTTTTATTATAACCCAAAACACACCAAAACATTAGGAAAACACGATTTATTTATTTGTATTGTATTTTTGTTTTAACAAATGAAAAAAATGAATAAAAAAAAAGAGACTGGCTTTTTTTGGATTTTGATAATTTACTTTTGTTAAAACTTGAGAAAAATCCAAATTTAGAATATTGAATGTGCAATGTTCGTGTGTCAATTAGAATGTTCATGGCAAAGGGTGAAGTACGTAAACTTAACTCACAATTGCAAGGCTGTTAAATTTGTATTGCTACAAGTATCTTCCAGGCATGATACTATAAATAAACATTAATGTATGAACTTACAATGACCCCAAAACTGAGGCCAACATAATTTCAAACAGCTATTGCCCGAGCTATGACAATTGCTGATAATTAAAGTCAATGTAAACTCACGGTGAACCCGCAACCATGTAAGGATTTTTCTCCTGCTGATGATCACACGATATTTAATTGGAACAGTTCTAATGCTTTTTTATGTTGTTTTTTTCCCTTTTCTAATTAAAAATCACATTCATAAAAAAATAAGTAGATCTAGTGTTTTCCTAACGTTTTTGTGTGTTTCGGTTGTGTTTATAATAAAATACGCTCAACTGGAGGTGAACGTGAAGTGGGGAATAAAATATGCTAAAATGGAGTTTTCCCTAGATCTAGTTATTATTCATTATTTTTATTCAGTTAAGTAGCTAGATTGTCACTAGATTAAGTAGATTTGACCAAGAGACCAAGATTAATTATAATTTATTTTAAGAATAAGATCATTATCATTAGGCCTAACTTCATTAATTAAGTAAGTGATTAAAGTTAAGATGGTAAAGTAGTTAAAAGTAGAGTCAGAGTGTAGACTGTAGACCTAACTGTAGACCATTTGATGGAGATTTTCATATTTGTCAGTTGTATAAATTTAATTTAACAATCTTTGTATTTTCTTGTTGAAGCTGAACTCCAAGATCAGTTGAGATATTTTGAGGTCCTCAACCATGTAGACATCAAGGTCAGGAAGAAGAGGAGTATAGATAACCCTGGTAAAGAAAATAAAGATGTCAGCTTTTCTGCTTTTGGGAAGTGAGTATTCAAATTTGATTTTTACAAATAATTAATGATGAATAATTAATTATTAACAGGGTGTACTACTTGCTACGTACTTGTGCATATGTTGCAGAGTCCTGTTTTACATTAGCATATCAGTCTAAACTTCCTATGCAATTCCTATAATTTTATAATAATTTATATTTGTTGAACAATTTCCTACAAAACTCTAATATTATATACTTTATATACATATCAATTCTTGGAAAAATAAACTATGTCATTTGTTTTGTATGCCCCTTGACATCGCTACCATTGTATTTTAATGTTTGCTGTGCTGATAACACTTGTGTTTCCCACAGGAAATTTGACTTGGTCCTCAGTCCTGGCTCTCCTGCTATAGCTGGAGACTTCAGCGCTAAACTGGTCTACAAAGATGGGTCGTCCTCTCCGCTTTATGTCAATCAGAACGATTTTTACACTGGGCATTTATTAGGTTGGTCGGGCTGTGTACTGTCATAAAGAGTTTTCAAGTTTTATTTTAAGCTAATTTGTTTTCTTTTTAGTAACGAGCCGACCCGCGGCATAACATACGCCGCTATTTAGTTGTTTTTTTTTTCTACTTTTCAGTAATTCATAATTTGTGAATTCGACAGTACCACTGCTGTCACTGAAAATATGTGCTTTAAAACACTAACCCCCCCCCCCCGTGAAAACAGCCTCCTCTTAGTTACCTCCTCTAATTTTAAAATCGTTTCAAACTAAATTATCTGCCCCTAATAGCCGTCACCAAACCCGGCTCTATGATTGTAAAATGTAAACATTTAGAGTGAACTACAACTCTCCAGGCCATGTAGGGGTGGTGGTGGGGGGTGGGGGGGTAGCGATAGAGAGGAGGAGAGGGGACTGCAAAGGCGCGCTTTCAGCTTGTTTTCTAACGGCTCCCAGAAGAGAATTATATATATAGATTGTACATGTGTAAATCATATAAGTTAGTAGTTTTTTGTAAAGTTAATTTTTACACAAATAAAAACAGTAGACTGAAGTGAAATGGTAAAATGATTTTAGAGATAGATGCTCAAAGGTGTTTAACTCATTGCTTTCATTCACTAGGAAACAAAGATATAAAAGCAGATGCTTATACAGAAGATGGAATATGGAGTGCTAATGTTTATGAAAAAGATGAAATTTATTCTTTAGAAGTAAGAATTGGATGTTTAAGATCACTTCATTTGAGAGAGAAATAAGTAAATATTGCAATAATATTTACCCATTGTTTTATTTTGCTTATTCATTCATACTTAATCTATGTCATTTTGATTAATACTTCAAATAATGCTAATAAAGTTTGACAAAAATAAATTAAAATAGTTTAGTTTCTAATATAACTTTCATTAATCATATATAAACTGTTAACCTGTAATGATTTAAAATGACCTTTCCTTTGTTGTCTAGCCATCGTGGCGGCATCTTCCACCTTCAGACAACCACAGCATGATTGTGTACCGTACATCTGACATCAAATGGAACAACATCTTCCCAGATATAGATAAAAGCCCTAACAAAACGTATGTGCAATTATTTTAGCTTAGACTTGATAAATCTTAATGAGATATTTCATAATTGGATGCATATATTAAGATCAAATATTTTTTATGATAGAATTAATCTAATAAAATAATTTAGTTTTTAATTTTAGTTGAGTTTGTACATCAAATGGTTTAGATCTCCCATATTAGCCCATACATGTAGGTTAATTCTTTTAGCACATTATATATTTTAATTAGTAGTCTTTTTCTTCTTAAAATTCTTAGAATCATAAATATATGTGCATATACTGTAATGTTATGTGTTCAATGGCAGTGTGAAAATCAGGGTGTATTGTAATGTTACATATTTACTATGAGGGTGTATTAGGGTTTATTTTAATGTTATGTTTACTGACAAGGAATATTGTCATGTTATGTGTTTACTGTCATGATGTATTGTAATATTATGTATTTTTACTGACAAGGTGGAAATCATTGTGTGTTACTGTCATGGTGTATTGTAATGTTATGTGATTACTATCAGGGTATATTGTTAATTTTTGTGTTTACTGTCAGAGTGTATTGTAATGTTATGTGTCACTGTCATGATGTATTGTAATTTGCTGTGTTTAATGTCATGTCATGTTATATTGTAATGTCATGTGTTTACTGTCATGTATTGTAATGTCATGTGTCTACTGACAGGGTAAAAATCTGCCAATCAGCCCATGCTGAAGATGACCCTGAGTATGTGTCAGTCACTGAGGAACTCTTAGAACAAGAAAGGGAAAACAGAAAACGTAAGACTCATTAGATAAACTTGGGTTTGAAATCATACCATGAATGAGATAGCTTTTATTCATAAGATTTTCTTGGTCTCCGTTTAAAAGAAAAAAATGGATATTTTATTTCAAAATATCGGGCTGCTCTTTTGGCTGTATGTTTATAAAACTATAAATTATTTTATTCACCTATTTTTACATACCTCTCTTATTTATCAAGTATTAAATTTTTCATTTGCTAATGCATTCCTAGATACACTAGAATTCATTAACATGAAATCAGTTAGACAACATAAAAATATTGGTATTTTATATGCATCAAAAAAAAATATTTTGTTTCCTACATGTTAAAAAATTTCTTCTAAATATTATTCCTGTATATATTCTAATGTTTGTTTATATCATTAATGTTATATTATATCTAGATATACCAAGACGTGAGCGTGCGTCAGTTGCACAGGACACATGCCCCATCATTGCAGTAGCAGACTACACATTCTTCACTGGGCCTGGGGGTGGCTTCCCTCATAGGACAGCAAATTACATTGTAAGTGCCTGAGTCTTTATCTGGTTTTCTTATTTTTTTGTAATTTAAATAGTTTACATAAGTAGTTATTTCAAATACCACAATCAATAGTTGAAAACGTCCATTTTGTGAGTTTTCTTATTGTTTTGTAATTTAAATAGTTTATATCAGTAGTTATTTCAAATACCACAATCAATAGTTGTAAACGTCCATTTTGTGAGTTTTCTTATTGTTTTGTAATTTAAATAGTTTATATCAGTAGTTATTTCAAATACCACAATCAATAGTTGTAAACGTCCATTTTGTGAGTTTTCTTATTGTTTTGTAATTTAAATAGTTTATATCAGTAGTTATTTCAAATACCACAATCAATAGTTGTAAACGTCCATTTTGTAAGTTTTCTTAAAAGATTGTATCCAGCTGCCTTCTGTAATATGTTGATTAACTAGAATCACTCCAGGTTGTTGATGCTGATGCCAAACAGTAAATATTAAGTAAATTTCTGTTTTTGAACCGGATGGGCCATGGGGCAAGTGAATTAGAGTTCTATTTTTTTCGACCTTCAAATATGAAGGAATATTGTGGTCAGCACCATGCCCAACAGCCTTCACTTTTCTTAATGTGAGTTAGGAATCTATCAGAGCTGGATGGACTTGGGGACGTTATACTGACTTGAACCTGGCTTCGAACTTGAGATTTTTAGGTTATTTGTCTAGCTCTCTACCTTTAGGCAATGCTGTCCCCCATTATTCTTAAAAAATGTGTAATGTTCTGTGTGAGTTTTTAAATATATTTTTTAGATCCAAGCTATTCAAGCTCTCTACCTTTAGGCAATGCTGTGCCCCCCCCATTATTTTAAAAAAATGTGAAATGTTCTATGTGTGAGTTTTTAAAAATATATTCTTTAGATCCAAGCTATTCAAAAAGTGAACGCAATTTACAGGAGGACAGTGTGGAATGATGAGTTGCAACTTAAAGGCTATGGTTTCCAAATCAAAGAGGTAGGCTGCCATTTCTTTCTGTTTGTTACAATTTCTTCTTGTTTGCTACCATTTCTTTCTGTTTGTTACAATTTTTTCTTGTGTGTTGCCATTTCTTTCTGTTTGCTACAATTTCTTCTTGTTTCTTACAATTTCTTTCCTGTTTGTAACAATTAGATTAGGCACATTAGCCCACATCCAGTTAAAAAAGCTGACAAATGCCAACAGATAGAAATCAAACATAATTTAAAAGAATTGACTATAACACTTCACACATCTGTTTTACAACACTCACCATCTTTAAAGATCATCTGGGTTAGAATGGTTCTCTGCATATGTTTTTAACTGAATTTTCAATAAATTGTTGTATTGGTTGTAAAATTAAATGTAAGTGTTAAAATTTTGTTCTGACATTCATTGAATGTTTCCTTACTTGTTAATAAATTTTGTAAAACATGCAGATATTTTACCTCTAAATTTAGACTATCAGTTTTCAAGGTAGTTGCCTTACCTTTATTGTGTAAATCTTTTGTAAACGAGTACTGAATGTTGTCTACAGCTGAGGATCCACCCAGAGCTGACAGATGCGAGTCAGTACCACTCCAATGGGCAGCACTACAACATGAAAAATGGCACATGGCCTGACAACGATTTGCTAACGGTAACTAAACATTGGGTGTGCTAGTTTTAGGTAACTAAACATTGGGTGTGCTAGTTTTACGTAACTAAACATTGGGTGTGCTAGTTTTAGGTAACTAAACATTGGGTGTGCTAGTTTTAGGTAACTAAACATTAGGTGTGCTAGTTTTAGGTAAATAAACATTAGGTGTGCTAGTTTTAGGTAAATAAACATTGGGTGTGCTAGTTTTAGGTAACTAAATATTGGGTGTGCTAGTTTTAGGTAACTAAACATTGGGTCTGCTAGTTTTAGGTAAATAAACATTGGGTGTGCTAGTTTTAATTCAGTCGCTGTGAATGTTTATAAGGTGGTTCAGATGGAGAAGAGTCTGTTTCCACAACTACATGATGTATTGGAATGAAGTAGCCAGCAAAAATATGTCTCCAATACATTGGTCTCTATTTCTAGAATGTATAAAGTGGCAATCTCTATTACTAAATCTTTTCCCTATCTTGCTGTACATGTAGAGAACTGTATTTGCTCATTTATATCTTAACTGCTACATTTTATATATTCACATTTAGTTTATGTATGTTTTAAATTAAAATTTTAATTATTATCCAATTGATACCAGCAATTTGGTTTGGATAAAGATTTCCATAACTTTTGCTTGGCACATCTCTTTACACATCGTCCTTTTGCTGGTGGAGTTCTTGGCCTTGCCTATATTGCTTCACCCCGCAAGTATGCAAACGGTGGAATTTGTTCATTGATACGTAAGCATTGCCTATCAAAACATTCTTGAAATTACTTTCAATAAAAAATGTTCTCACTTTTTAAAACTTTGAGCTTGAACTTGTAATTCTTGAAAAATAGAAGCATATTTAGTATTTGGTGATTAAATTGTTTGGAACAATTAAAATGACTTCCTTAAATACATTCTTTTATTGATTGTTTTATTTCTTTTTAGGAAATAACCCAAGGGCATATAACACTGGTTTTAGCTCTACCATGAATACCAAGGGAAGCAATCTGTTGACACAGGAAGCAGTGCTGGTTACTGCTCATGGTGGGTTAACAAAATATGTTTTACATTGAAAATACGCAAATCTTTTTTTTTTTTATTATTTATTTTCAACAGTAAACTTTTAAATTTTTATTGTAAAACCTAAATAGAATTCTTTAATGTATATTTAAATGCTTTGTTAAAAAAATTTAATATAAAAAAGTTTAAAAAAGAATTTTTTTACAGTTTCTTTTAAAATAGAATTAGCTAATACATGTATAAACAAATTGGAACAGTATAAATACATTTATTTTCCTTTGTTTCATATTCCTCGATAGAATTTGGTAAGTAACTTTTACATAACTAATAATATTTTTAGATTTTATTTTACTAAGGAGGATAAAATTGATAAAATTTTGCTGAAGAGAGTCCTATAGTTAATAAATATAATCATTATGCAGACACTACTAAAATATAATATCAACTATAGGCCACAACTGGGGAGCTGAGCATGACGCAGACACTAATGAATGTGCCCCTAGTTCTTTCAACAAGGGAAGATTTCTCATGTACCCTTATGCTGTCAGTGGCTACGATGAAAACAACGATGTATGTTCACATTTCTTTCAACCTTTCCAACATTCATCTAAGTATTATCTAGTGTCATATTCTTGATTTACTTTTTTTTACGTCAATGTATATCTGATGTTAAACTTTTAAAATTACCTTTACTTGTGTCCAATGCTTCCATTATTTCCAAATGTTTGTGGGTTGTTTCTTCTTTCTTCTTCGTTCTTAATTGAGAATATGGTGGAGGATTTAGACAACAAGTCCAACTTCGTGAATGAACCAGACTGTGGTCTCCAGATCAGCAGGTGCCCCATATAATTTTTCCCTGAGTGGGGTGTGTAGGGGCCAGTCTGACTCGCGCCTGGCTATATAAAGAACATTCCTGAAGGACGTGCTCCGTATTTTCCGGGGCCTTGCCACAATTTTTAGATTTTTATGCATGTGTTGATTTAGTCTGTTATGGCCTGTTCTGAGTCGAAAGATTATGTATTGTTGTTTTCGTGTCAACTTGTATTATCCATCATCTTTTGTGGGTTTTTTTTTTTTTTTTTTATATCTTAAAATTTTTCCTTGTTAGGACTTCTCACCTTGCAGTAAAAGGTACATCACCTCAGTTCTTCAGACAAGATCTAGCTCATGCTTTAGAGGTAAGGATTTCTGTCATGTTTTTCTTAAACTTTCAGAAAAAAAAATCATTATTATATTAATCTGCTTAAATAAACAAAATAATTTTTTTTTTATTTTAAAATTGTTTTAAAAAAATGATTTAGTTAAGGAAATAGTTGATATAAAATAAAATTTGTTCAGATATATCGGCAATTAATAATTTTAGATACTATAAAAAAGTGCTATTAGTACATTTATGTTTAACAACAATTTATGTTGTATATTTGATATATTTTCTTCATAATAAAGATCTTAAAATTAAATTACTTAAAAGCCCTACTTGGGTAGATTTACAAATAAATTTATGTATATGTGTCTCCAATATCACCTTTTTTTCTGTTTGGTCACTGTTTACCAACCCTCAAAAACCTGGCCAGTGTGGCTTATCTCCCCTCACTATAAATGAGTTATAAATATTTTTCCTGGGGAGCTTGGCTGCAAACTTAACAAAAAAATAATTTCCTGTTCAGTTTTTTAAAAAGTTGTCTATTAAAATAAACATTTTAAATAAAAATTTATATTTAAGTAAAAAATGTATTTAAAAATAAATCTTTTGATTTTCTTTAAAAAGAAAAAACCATAAATTTAGACGATAATGGCAGCTGTTATTATTTTTTAATTCAAACAATTCTGGGTAGTTTGTATACATACTATTATAAACTTTCTTGGAAAGTTGCTTTTCTATAATACTATTTTCTTTGTATTTAATTGCTTTTAAAATAATAATAAATCAGTTAATTTTTGTCATGATAACTGTTGTATAGATGTCGATATCTCTGGATTGTTTTCATAATAACTATGTAAATCTTCTAATTTAACCAATGAACACAACTAGACTCTATTAGAGTCTACACACCTTGATGTAGATTAGACTAATCAATTTCTAAATAACTAATTAAACTAATTAGTTAGCTAGAGCCACCTAAGTAAACATTTGATATGTTGCATATTGAACAACTTAATTAGTTTTTGTTAATTAAAATAGATAATTTATGATGTTCAATCTTTAGCAATTTAAATATTATTTAACTGTTACAATTTTGTGGATGACAATTTAAACTCTCTTTATTATCCATTAAAAAGAATAAAAAAAAGTTTATGAATTGTACTAAGTTAAATTTTAAAATATCTTGTTCAGTATTTACTAGGACTAGGTAAATGGTTGAGAGATTTCTTTTTATTTTCAGAGAAAAATTAAAAGTTTACATTTTGAATAACAAGTAGCAGAATGTTAAAAGTAATCAAATGTTGTTTAATGTTTTTCTTTTGTCTTTTTTGTTTCAAGTTTTAAAAAGTTGAGTGGTTTAATTCAATTTAAATTGTAATATTATATTGGTTCCTAGTTTTTGCTTGATTTTAGCAATTTGGATTCTCTGTTTTAAGCAAATATTATCATTATCTATCCATTAATTAAATCTATCAATATTCTGTTACTCATTTGCATTTGCTAAAAATCAGATTGTAATTAGTTTAGCTTTTAATTTATTTAAAATACTATCAAAATAATACACCACGAAAACATTGACATAAACTTAAACATAATAAATTTTTCAACAATATTTTAATATGTAAGGCTAATGCTTCTGCTTATAAAAGCATGTAGCTCCTAATAGTTGTTAATTGTTAAGTAAGTAATAAAAATTAAAAGTATTTTGAAAAATAAATAAAAACGTAAATAATAAAAAAGATAAGTAAACTTCCCACTCAAGAAAAATTAAATAGTCAATAATTGTCTGCAATTGTTAGTGAAATAAATAAAGAGCAAATAATATTTAAATTGTGAACATTAGTAGCTAGTACACTTGTGTATTCAGCCATAGGTTCAGTAGAGGAAGCATGGCAACAATCACTCATGTTTGACCAATAAAAACCAGTTTAGCAATTGCTATTCAGTGTCCTGGGTTCTCACTGGCCAAACATTAAAACACAAAGTCTTGCCTTTAAAATATATAAATAAATATAACAACAACAATGATATAAACTTAAATTCTTTTACAATAAAAGTTATTTACAAAACAACCAAGATGCAGCGATCTTTAAAAAAATGAAACACTTAGCTGTTAGGAGTGACACTGGTACTTGTGTAAACCTTTTATTCATTGAATTTTTTCTTTGACACTTTGCCTTGTTGGTGTCCCCTGCAGAACCAGAGACGCAAAGTGACAGTAAGTGGCAGACGTTCCCTTTCTCCATCACTCACATCATTCATTTTCTTTGACAGCCTTTTAAGGTGGTTTCATTCATTCAGCACCAAATTTGTTGCCACATTTTCATTGGCTGGCTGTTCATTTACAAGCAATGTGGCCATTCTTTTTTTTTAATTTTAAATACCATGGTGTGTTATATTTACTAAATTTTGTTTTCCCATGCTTGGAAATACATTTTTTCACATTTAAAAAAAAAATTTAAGGTAGTGGTTTTTTAATACTTTTAAAATTGTACAACCTGTAATCAATAATTGGAATTAGCCTGTCCTTAAAAAGCTGTCTTGGAGCTGCCTTGGCTGTATAGTTTTTGCTTTAAGCATTACCTTTATCTAGCATTCTAATATGTAAACCCCACCATTATTTACCTGTCTATACAGTTACAGAGTTTTATAAGTACTTTTTGTTTTATTAATGAGGAATTTTTTTATGTGTTAACTTAATTTTAAAATTTTGAATTATGTAAAGTCCTGGGTCATCAACGTATGAAATCACACAAAAAATAGACAAATTTAAAGTAATAGTAATTTTGGGTTAATGATTTTTTAGTTGCAATCCTTTAGTATCTAGTACTATTGTAAAGTAGATATGAAAGTAATAGAATGTTCCAATTAACATAATATCTAATTAAATGTGTCTGACTTTTCAGGTTAATGAGGTTTAGGTTAATTATTGTAGGGGTAGATTTGTAAACTAAAAATATATAATTTTTTTTTAGATTTATTTATTTAGGTAGTTAGGGAATAAACAATGGAGAGAAGTGTCATAAGTCGTGAGAAAAAATAGTGTACACTTTTGAGGGGAGTGGGGGTATTTCAAAGATGGGTTGGCGGAACTGGGCTGTGCTATTTCAACAGCTTATGTTAATATTGGTATACAATTATGTGTGCTTTTATATGCAGATGACCACGCTAAACACAGTTAAATGCTTACAAAGAAAACCCATTGCCAATATTACTAAAGCCACTTCCAGCAGTAATTCATTAATATCTTGTTCAATTTCCCTGGTTAGAAAATGTTTTTTTTTACTTTTCTGGTAGTTTTTTTGCTTAGTCCTGCTAATTTCTGACCAAGTTTACATTTCTTCATTCTGCATGATGTAATTGTCTCCTAATTAACTCTGTTTCATAATTACAGGTGGACAATTTTTATGCTGTGAATTTATTCAGCAGTTTTAAGCTTGTTTTTTTTTGTCCAAGTAATGTAAAGGAATTGAAGACTTTGCTCTGAAAATATAAAAGATAATCCTTGGTTTATTTGTATTGAACTGTTTGAACCTAGATTAGTGTTTGAATAATAATTGCAGTGTCCTTGATGCCTTGTAATGCATTTAGGTTGCTGTTTGACTGGATTTTTTTACATTTTTTAGGCCTGCAAAGTAAGAAAGACACCAATCAAAATATCTATGAATCATTATTGGAATGTTATTTTAGAGCATCAAAGAGCTGATCAATTACAAATAAATCAAATCCAAATCAAAATATTGTTCTCATTAATTTTTATTTCCACTGATTAACCCAACTCTATTTTCTAAAATAATCAACACATATTAAAAAATTTAATTTTGTTACAGAACTTTTATCTATATTGATCAACATATTTTTATATTTAGACAAATTCCCTTTTTTCCCCAAATATATGATTGTATCTCATCACTGGTTTACATTTAAACATATCTGTTTATCAGATATTTGGCCTTCATTTTTTTTCTTCTAACAGCTTGAATAACATTGTCGACAGAGCATTGCCTTCATCATTAATCAAATCATCTCTACTCCTTATTATTAACCTTATTTACAACCTAATTATGTTTTAATTTCAGATGTTTTGGTTGACCTCTTATGCACACACCAAAAAAAAAAAAAATCACCATGTATAATTTCTGCTTTAATGTGTATACTAGGTCACCATGTTGAAATATGGCTTACATATTCTAAAAAATCTGGATACCTTGCTTCTCCATTGTATGTGTATAATCCAAATTAGGATATAGACTAGTATATTGCTTCAGGCATAATAACCTATGAAATTTATCATTTAATAATCTTATTTTTTAGCCACAACAAAATATAAAAGCATAATGGTGAAAAAAATATTTAGTCTCACCTATATGCCATCAATATTCTTAAAACTATAACTTTAGCAATATTTTCTATAAACTTAAATTCAACTTTTAAAACTACACTCTATATTTTTTTTAAATACTTGAACCCCACCCCCTTTCATTTTTGTATACAATGAAGTTTCTAAATTTTAAGTAATAAACTGTCTCTGGAACATTTCTGGATCTGACTGTTATTTTGTCTTTTATCTGTTGTAAATGCAGCTTCTAGGAATTATCTCCTATTTTTAAATTTTGAATAGTTAAAGTTTGACATTTCAACCTAAATTTCCCCTATTTTATTATGAACTAATAGTTATATTAATATTATTATGTTATTTGTTTTACTGAAGCTATATAATTTTAATTTTTTTCTGTCTAACCCGTCTGTTTTCTATCTATTTCATTCACATGGCCTGTACTATTTGTCTGTGTCTGATGAATTTTCTGACTTCTCTGATGACTTGTCTGTGTCTGCCTCTCCCAGGATACACAGCTAATGTCCCCATGTGTGGCAATGGCATCATTGACAAGGGAGAGGACTGCGACAGTGGTGGCCTTGGTTTAACTGACAGAGACCCTTGCTGTTCCTCTCAGTGCAAGTTTAAAGGCAGCGCCACTTGCAGGTAGGGGACTGTACTCTAAGTAGTTCAGCTAAGTTTCTTGTCTTCAACTTGTAGATAGGGGGGTTTACCCTCACTAGTTTGGCTAGAGTTCAGTTATGTCAAGTATCACATACCAGCAAATGTAAACATGTTAAATTGTATTTGAATCCAAACTTTTAGTTGCATTACAATATTACATGCAATAATATTTGAAGTCAAGTAGAAACATGATACTTTCAGTTAATGTTTTAAAAACAATGTAGGGGACATTATTGTTGCTGAATATACATTTTAAAATGTACAGGCACACAAAACACTTTGTTTAATTAACCAAATTAATTGAAAAGTCTAGTGAAACTATGTTTTAGTCAAATCATACAAGAAAAAAATAGTGTTCAACTGAAAACATAGGAACAAAAGTTTGGATGAATATGTTGTTTATTGGGAGTAAGTTACCATTACTATCAAAATGTACACACATCACTGACTATCAAATAAATTTACCATAAAAATGTGCACACATAATTGATTACCAAATAACTTTATATTACACACGTAATTGAGTATTAAGTTACCATTACCATCAAAATGTACACATAATTAACTATTAAATTTCCTTTACCAACAAAATATATACACAGAACTAACAGACTGACTATCAAACTACCATTACTAACAAAATCTATACATCAAACTACTATGTAAAATTGTTTTAAACTCTTTCAGCTCAACCAACTTTGAGTGCTGTGAGAACTGTCAGATGGCACCTCCAGGCGTCATGTGTCGGGGTCGGAGTGTAGAGCAGTGCCAGGAAGCTGCCTATTGCTCGTATCCTTTTACTGATGGCCTGCGTATACGTGGGACTTGTATGGGCATGGAAATTTGTTGTTGATGGTCCTACCACTTGCCTACATATACATGGGAGTTGTATGGGCTCGTTCAAGCTTGGCATGGTATTATGTTGTTGGTGGTCCTACTGCTGGCCTGCATATACGTGGGAGTTGTATGGGTTCGTTTAAGTTGGGCATAGAATTATGTTGTTGGTGGTCCTACTGCTGGCCTGCATATACGTGGGAGTTGTATGGGTTCGTTTAAGTTGGGCATAGAATTATGTTGTTGGTGGTCCTACTGCTGGCCTACATATACGTGGGATTTGTATGGGCTCATTTAAGCTGAGTATGGAATTATGTTGGTTGTAGTCCTACTGCTTGCCTACATATACTTAGGAGTTGTATGGGCTCATTTAAGCTGAGCATGGAATTTTATGGGAGAATGTTGTTTTTTCTATTCCTGGTCGAATATAATATAGTAGATGTAATTTGAATGGATTTTTTTAGAGAATGTTTTATTGAAACCCTCATTAGATATTCTTTGCTAAAATGTTAGGAATAGGTTTTTGGCTAGAATGATGCAGTTTGGTTGTTCCACCAGTAGTCTGATAAATTAAATGTAGCTGTTAAAACGTGATTAAAGCTGATTTGTGTATATAATTACTTGCGTCAACCAAACAGAGAAATTCTTTAACCAGACTGTAGTGGTCTTAGCCTGGATTGTCCACTTTCACCCCCAATAGCAGACTCACCTGTCACTAAATGTATAGATGAGTAAGTACAATAATTTTTTTATTTACCACTACTACATTATATATTATGGTCAAATAACAGATGAACTCTACTTTATGTATGAAATGGCGGCTTAACTTTTATACCAACATAGTGTAATTTGGATAGTTGTTTAACTAGTTATGCCAAGTTTTTAAACTGTATGTTTTTTGAACTATATAATCTGGTGTTACACAGGTTCAAACATCATGTATATTTAATGGTTGCTATACCATGTCAAACATGTATTTGTAGCTGTATAAACACCTTTTTTTAATGTTTGTTATACCATGTCAGACATATATTTTGCTAGTTTGTATAAACACCATAGTTTGATGTGCTTGTCTCCCCTCCCACAGAGGCTACTGTAAAGGGGGACGATGCTTGGACTATTGTGAGAGACAGCAGATAGGGCTACAGCCCTGCTTGTGTACTGAATCTGGTGACTATGCAACATTTATTGCTTTTGGAATTCAATAGGATAAACCTCTGTAAAATTGTTGGCTTTATGTATATGCCAGAAACAATTAATTAAGTCGATTAATTAAGTCGCATAGATAACTGTTTTAATGAAAACACAATCTTGCAAGTTGGGACGGGTGTAAGCTAGGATGGTGGTAACACCCTTCTTTAGTTAACTGTGAAATATGTTTGCCCACTTGAATTTTGGTGATAATTGTTGAGGAATAGTTATTTGTGTACAACAACCATTTCTTGCCTCTTAAATGGATGCCATAGGTTATTTCTTTTTAAACTTATACAGTGAGCTATTTCCCTTTTTATATATTCTATGAATTATTTCCCCTTTAACTTATGCTGTCAGTTTTTTTTGTTTTAACATATACCAATGAGTTATTTCCCTTTTAAATAATTTAGTGAGCTATTTCCTTTTGAACTTACGTCATGAGTTGTTTCCCTGTTAGCTAATTTAGTGAGTAAATTCCCTTTGAACTTATGCCATGATTTATTTTCCTAGGTCATGAGTGCTTTAGGTGCTGTAGGTCCTCTAATGGTACTTGCAGAAGTTATGGGGATGGAAAGGATCATTTGGCTGATGGTAGACCCTGTTCATTTGGATATTGTGTGGTAAGGTTTGAAAACAACTGACAGTAATCTCCCTTTGGATATTGTGTGGTAAGGTTTGAAAACAACTGACAGTAATCTCCCTTTGGATATTGTGTGGTAAGGTTTGAAAACACCTGACAGTAATCTCCCTTTGGATATTATGTGGTAAGGTTTGAAAACAACTGACAGTAATCTCCCTTTGGATATTATGTGGTAAGGTTTGAAAACAACTGACAGTAATCTCCCTTTGGATATTATGTGGTAAGGTTTGAAAACAACTGACAGTAATCTCCCTTTGGATATTATGTGGTAAGGTTTGAAAACAACTGACAGTAATCTCCCTTTGGATATTGTGTGGTAAGGTTTGAAAACAACTGACAGTAATCTCCCTTTGCATATTGTGTGGTAAGGTTTGAAAACAACTAACAGTAATCTCCCTTTGGATATTGTGTGGTAAGGTTTGAAAACAACTGACAGTAATGTGTGAATTTGACTTTAAACCTTGCCATTTTCAAATTTTAAATCTCTGCATTAATTCTGTTAGATTACAATGAGCTAATGTTTAAAGTAATTTTTATCTCTGAAGTGAATATGTTAGAAAAATTATTCTTTTTCAGGCTGGGAAATGCCAAAAGGGTAAAGCTAATATGATCCAGAGATTGTTTTCTTTCATAGAACAACTTGACACTAGTACACTAGGTAAGAGCTGTTTCTTAATTTTACTTTTCTTCTTCACAAACTTGTATGAACTCTACATGCAACATTATAATGTCATTGCATACATCCTTATCAATGGTTCTTATGTTATTTCTCTTAGAACTACATGCAACATTATAATGCTGTTGTCAGTGTCTTATCAGTGGTGCTACATGCAACATTAGTGTTGTCATAAGTGCTTCTCAGTCTATTCTTGTCTGTCTCTTGCACACTACTTACATTAACATCAAGCCTTCATACATTCTACTGCTTCTATGTCCATCACTTCAAATTTAACAATTCTGCTACAGCAGTGAAGAGATTTATTTGCAAGGCAAATGTATGTACAAGGCAGAAACTGGATACATTTTACATAGGCTGATAGAACTACACTCTGATAGAGTGGCATATGTAAAGCTGCAACAAAAATATTTTTTTTATATAATTAAACATTTCATTAGTAGGGTAAAAGCTATTTTGATTTCTGACTGCAATTTTCCCCCTTTTCTGACATGTTTGCTCTCCCTTAGTTGCCTTCATGAAGAGCAATATTGTTGGGACAATCATAGTGTTCTCCCTTGTTATTTGGATACCTGCCAGTTGGACTGTCAGCTGCATTGTAAGTGTTTTTACTTTATTTGCTGTATTGTAAGGTTTTTAATTTATTTAATTGGTACTATTGCAAGAGTTTTAATTAATTTTTTTTGCCCTATTGTAAGGTTTTTAATTTATTTTATTTGTACTATTGTAAGGTTTTTAACTTATGTTATTTGCTTTATTGTAAGTTTTTAATTTATTTTACTTGCAGTATGGTAATAGTTTAAATTTATTTTTATTTGCAATATTGTAAGGTTTTTAATTTATTCTATTTTTGATATTGTAAGATTTCAAATTTATTTTATTAGTGGTATTGTAAGATTTTAAATTTATTTTACTATTTATATATAATATTGTAATATGTAATTGTTTTTATTTATTTTGGGTATTGTACGATTTTTTATTTATTTTCTTTGCATTATTAAATTGTAACATATTAAATTTATTTTAATTGTGGTATTGTAAAATTTCTACAATCTAAATTTATTTTTTTAGCTTTATTGGAAGATCTTTTCTTTTTAATTTATTTATTAGCAGTATTGTAAAAAAAATTTCTTTAAAACATTTTAAATTAGCTGTATTGTTAATTATTACATTTTTGTTAGCTTTTTTATTCAAAAATATATAGGTTGTTTTATTTGAATCAATTAATTTTCTAAAAACCGAAATCCTCATTAACAATACTTTCAGTTCAGAGTTTAAGCAAAGGTTAGGCTTTATGGTTATGGTACTTTCTAACTTTTATTGTATTTTGGTACTTCCTAACTCTATATGTTTTTTAGTACTTCCTAACTCTATATGTTTTTTCTGTACTTCCTAATTCTATGTTTTCTGGTACTTTCTAACTCTAAATTTTTTATCTGTACTTCCTAATTCTATATGTTTTTTTATACTTCTTAACTTTATGTTTTTTGCCAATTGATGAGTACCAAACTGTTTTTTTTCCCCAGGACAAGCGTCATGTCAAGAAGACAAGGGTCTATGAGAACCGCTGGGTTAGTAACGAGGCACTTCTCAATCTCTCCATACAGGTTTGCTTGCTTATTGTCATGTAGCCCTTTCTTTTCTAACAACCACTACTGTAAACTTCATTCTTGCATGGTCATTTTATTCAAAACTAAAGACATATCACTAAAGTTCCAAACATTGTGAAATTGTACATTCATTTAGAGGATCTTTATAAATTTTAGTTTACGATGAAGTGCAACCATAAATGCGCTTTAAAGATTTTGAATAAGAGAAAGAATAAGGTTTACAGTATCCATAATACAATGGCACATAAGTGCGAGTGTTTCTGATATTTTTTGTTACCAAGGTTAGACTTTAAAAAAATAATAGTTTAACCATTGCAAGATATTGGCAAAATTTAATGGCTAATTAGTCATCAAACAGTGTATAAGTACAATCTATTCCATCTGTTTTATTTATAAAGAAAACAAACAGCTTTTCATTTGATGAACTTTGACCTTTAAAGTAAATATATTTTGGAAAAGTTTATAGTTCAATCTATAAATACAGTACCATTGTATTATTTTGTACTCTATTTTGTAAGTTTTCAGTAAAAATGGCATTAAGAAGAGTCATGTTAAATTCATTTCCTTTGTGTTGGTTTAAACTAAACCAGTTTAAAACAGAAAATGAAATAAATGAATTATAAAGTATTATTTATAAAATTACAGGGCAAGGCCATTTTTACTTGACTGCTGAATATTTTTTAATCAGTCACACATCTTTTTTTATCATAAAAAAAAACATAAAACAGGTTCAAAAATAGTTATCTTAAAATAAAAAAGTATGTATATTTTTATAAAGCTCAGTAAAGTCATTTTTTGGTAATCTATCGTTTTGGGTACGTAAAATCGCCCGCGGCTATTTATGTACGAAAACGTTACCTCATTGTCAAGGCTTTAATAGAAGTATATTGTCATATGTTTGTGTCAAATATTATAGATAAATGAATAATAAACCTAAATCAATGGCTAAATATATCGATATAGTCCAGAAATTAACTTTAAACAGCAGTGTCTGAGAGCAAGATTTGCTATATAATGTAATATAAACAGCAGCCATTTGTAAAATAGAGTGGCTTCCCCCTGAATCTGGCGCTAAAAGCTTATAAAAGTAAAACTTAGACAAGATGGCTGCTATAGTAAATGAGCATGGTTGCATCTGTTGGAAACATCGCTAGTCTTCATTTATTACGGAAAAGTTTTAATTCAATTGTTTAAAAAAAGGTACATAAATGAATCAAGGAAACATTATTGAATTTTTTAAAACAAAAATCCTCCTCAAAATGTGAAATAATTATTAAAATTTAAGGAGTCACCTGTTTTTCACACTACAAATCGCGGGCGATTTTACGTACCCAAAACGATAGATTACCCATTTTTTATTTGGATGTCTTAAAATAATCCTGATTTACACTTTAATTTGTTAAAAAATTGTTTCAGAAATTAAGTCAAAACAATTATTTTTTTTTAAAACTTATATCAGACCTCCATAGCTTAAGCAAATAAATGTGCCACTTAAATCATGCATGTCAAGCTTAACAACGCTGAACTGTATTTTATTATCTCCTGTTTGGCCAGCTTGTGACTCCCACTAATTTTAAAAACCTTTCCTTGTTCACAAATTTTTTTATTTCCATTAGCCAATAGAGGCATACAAGGTTGTTTTATCCTTTTTTCTACTTTCAAATTTAAAGTTTTTGAAACTTAATAACTTATTTGTTACAAGTGCATATGCTTGGTAATCTAGGTATTTATATGGAATACTTAAGGTAGGTTTTCTAAAAGGATTACACTAATTCTATTGGAATTCTTTTGTGTATATATGTACATAACTAACTTATTTCTTTTATAGTCTAGGATTTTTTGTTTTTTTCTACATCTTTTTTTATTATATTGGTGTAGGTATTTCTCAGTGTACTCATTTTAAACCAAACACTTACAATGTCCATTCTTTTTTTCTATGCTTTCTTAAAATAATTGTATTTTGTGGAAAGACATAGGGCTATAAGTGTATTTTTTTTTTTCAGAATTTATTTTAGTTCAAATTATGTATTTATTTTCTATTTATTCTTCAGTTATAGTAAGGCATGCATTTTTGAGTTTATTGAATGAAAATAGTCTGTTTATTGTTTTTTAGAATAGCTTTAAAAATGCAGGTTCTGTTTATAAAATATAAAAACATTATATAAGATGTCAGTAGCTGTATACTTTGTTACTTTATATACATATTTAAAGTATTTTAACTTTTTAAAAATTTTCTATAATTGAAAACTAAATCAGTAGACATTGCAACAACTACATTGTTTTGTTAATGAAACTAGAATTACTTTTAACCATTTATAATAACTTGGCTGTCTAGAAAAACTAGTAGAATCTCCTAACTACAGTACCAGATTAGAAAACAAAACTAACAAAGCAGGTGTTGAAATAATGCTCATGCCAAAATTATTTTAAATATTTTTAAAAGTTTGTACAGCATAAGTACTGGTGACATAGCTCAGGGGTTATGTACATATTATATAACACAAAACAGGACATTTTATCACACTATTGAAGGTGTGTCCTGCAGTTAACAGAATTGTCCTGCAAAATCACCCAAAATCTTTGTTTCGCTATTTAACATTCATCCCAGTTGTTTTAGCTGTATATTTATATTATCATGAAAATATATTTAAGAATGGATCGAAATGTATGAAAAGAGATTGAAAATTTCCATGTTTGCTATTTCTCATTGCAAAATTAGATCGTAACACATAGCGTTAGCAAAGAAAGCTAAAGAATCTAAAGAAATTTTAGCATTAAACAGGAAACAAGAATTGAAAATTGGAAAAAAAAGAAGAAAAAATTGTTACATAATGAAAGCTCTTGACCACAACCCACCTGATATAATGTTATTATTATAAGAAAATGATAAAATCCTACCCCACCCCTCTGTGTTATATAATATGGGCATGGTTCACTTACATATTGAGCACATTAAATATTAATCTCTGTTTAATTAATTTAAAAATCAAAGAAATGCGGTATGGAAAAGTTTAATGTATCACTAAATATTTCATAATTAAATGTAAGGAATTATTGGGAGCTTAACAATCTAAAATTAGAATTTCCAATCATAATATAATTTTTTGACTGGCCAATCTACAGAACACACTACTGGCCAACCAGTACAAAAACTACAACGTCAAGGAGGCAACACACAGACGGGTGGAGCCTTACCCAGGGCAGAGGGGGGCCAGGCCAGACAAGGCCAGGTTACCCTTACTGCAGTCAGTGGCGCCCCCACCTCATCGTGTCCAGCCACCAGAGCCTAAAGTGACCACTACCTACAAGTTCAAGGAGCAACAAGAGTTTGAGACCAGTATTTGACCATGTAAGTTGGGGCCAGTATTTGATCATGTAAGTTGGGACCAGTATTTGATCATGTAAGTTGGGACCAGTATTTGATCATGTAAGTTGATCTGTTGGGACCAGTATTTGACCATGTAAGTTGGGACCAGTAAGAGTATTTGATCATGTTAATGTAAGTTGGGACCAGTATTTGACCACATAAGTTGGGACCAGTATTTGATCATGTAAGTTGATCTGTTGGGACCAGTATTTGACCATGTAAGTTGGGACCAGTAGGAGTATTTGATCATGTAAGTTGAGACCATCATTTGATCATGTAAGTTGATCTGTTGGGACCAGTATTTGATCATGTAAGTTGGGACCAGTAGGAGTATTTGATCACATAAGTTGGGACCAGTATTTGATCATGTAAATGTAAGTTGAGACCAGTATTTGACCACGTAAGTTGGGGCCAGTATTTGACCACGTAAGTTGATCTGTTGAGACCAGTAATTGACCACGTTAGTTGAGACCAGTAGGAGTATTTGATCACATAAGTTGGGACCAGTATTTGATCATGTAAATGTAAGTTGGGACCAGTATTTGATCATGTAAGTTGGGACCAGTATTTGATCATGTAAGTTGGGACCAGTGTTTGATCATGTAAATGTAAGTTGGGACCAGTATTTGATCATGTAAGTTGGGACCAGTATTTGATCACATAAGTTGGGACCAGTATTTGATCATGTAAATGTAAGTTGGGACCAGTATTCGATCAAGTAAGTTGATCTGTTGAGACCAGTATTCGACCACATAAGTTGGGACCAGTAGGAGTATTTGATCATGTAAGTTGATCTGTTGAGACCAGTATTATGGAGTGATCAGTTCTCGATACAGTTTTCATTCCAAAATATTTTTTTATATTTTTATCAAAATGCATACCTGTAGTTAATACATTTTATGGTACCATCCATATTAATATTTTCTCAGCTAGTGAATACTGGATTAAAATATGACTTTTAAATTTTAATTTGTCGTGGACTTTTTCAATGACCTTGTATGGCTGTTCTGAATTGTATTTTATTCCGTATTTTCTTTCATCAGTTTTGTCAATCCTGAATTTTAATTTCCTCATCAGGTTACCAGGCTAGCACTACGGTAGCTTAGGATCAAGTATTGCATGATTTTCTGAATCAAACATTCTTCAATTGATGATGCCCTATGCTTCAAGTTCAGTCAGTTCCATTATTACAATTTGTGCGTCCATTTTACTAGTTTATTTCTATTATTTTAAATTATTTAATCTTGATACCCATTTCATAGATAAAAAGAATATGTTGTTTTGACTTCTAATTATTTTTTAAATAATTTTTTACAATCTGTTATTAATGGTACACAATTCTGATTTTCACTTTGTTTACAATGTAATTCTTTGATTTTTAATGTAACTTTCACCTGTGACCTTTCATCATAAAATGTCAGCTGTATGCTTTTTTGTGACTTTACAGTGTAACCATTGCACAAGACCTCTCATAGTGACCTTTCATTGTAACTAGTTCAATAGACCTCTCATAGTGACCTTTCATTGTAACTAGTTCAATAGACCTCTCATAGTGACCTTTCATTGTAACTAGTTCAATAGACCTCTCATAGTGACCTTTCATTGTAACTAGTTCAATAGACCTCTCATAGTGACCTTTCATTGTAACTAGTTCAATAGACCTCTCATAATGACCTTTCATTTTAACTAGTCCAATGTACCTCTCATAGTGACCTTTCATTGTAACTAGTTCAATAGACCTCTCATAATGACCTTTCATTGTAACCAGTTCAATAGACCTCTCATAGTGACCTTTCAATGTAGCTAATTTAACTGACCTCTCATTAATCTCCTTACTGAATATTGCTCAAATCAGCATTGTTATTAAATGTTATGTTTTTTACCTAATGTTATTCTTGATGTCATAATGTAAGATGATCGTATGTCGTTGTTTGGTGTCAAGCTTAAAAATAATGTCTTCTTTCTATAACTTTTGTCAGTGAAATTCATAATGTAAACATTCCTCACAAATTCATTAATGACATTTGACAGTATAGATCTATGGTAAACTTGACGTTAACCCAGTATCTAAGTACATTTAATGTTGATGATGTTCTTTTCAACAGTGTTTGATCATTTACATGACATGATGGTATACTTCATTTAACATAATCTCCTTGTGAAATTGACATTAACAACATCTCATATAGATAACATTAACTTCTGGTGGTAAAATTGACATGTATGGTAAACTTGACACTTTTTTTTGTAATTTTGACATTTCTGGTGTAGTTTTACATTGGCCGCACCTTTTGGTATCTCAGTGTATGTCAGCCGTCACCAGCATTAACTTTCATGTCAGCATGATGTAACACTGTTTGTTGAAACCTAGCTGGTGTTTAATTACTCCAGTAGTTTCTTTTACCATTGCCATAATCCAAATTTAGCTCTGAAAATAATCAATATTTTATACCATATGTTCTAATAATAGGCCTTATTATTGTTTTTCCAATTTTTCATACTTAATTTAGTTCTATAAATAACTAATATTTTTTAGATTCTACTTCTGTTTTATAGCTTTCATTATAAAAATTGATTTTATAATGTCTTGCACTGAATCATATTTACTGTTCATGCAATTTTTTTTATACTTCCTAGACTATATAAATTTTGTTGCTAGACTATTATTATAATAATTTTTATAATTCTAATTAATCAATCAAATATATGATAAGCTCTGCAGCTTTTGTATTTTGTTGTGTACTTTAATTTCCATGTATTTAAATATTCAGGTTTTTTAGGGTTGTGAATTTTCCTTTACACGTATATATAATATGAGTTTGCACTTATAACTGAACTTAACACAGTAAAATATTTCAGCATTGCTCTTGTGTTTTAACCTAACCTTTTCCATTGAGACTTTAAAAAAATAATAGTTTAACCATTGCAAGATATTGGCAAAAATTAATGGCTAGTCATCAAACAGTGTATAAGTACAATCTATTCCATCTGTTTTATTTATAAAGAAAACAAACAGCTTTTCATTTGATGAACTTTGACCTTTAAAGTAAATATATTTTGGAAAAGTTTATAGTTCAATCTATTGTGTCTAATTCATGATGAATTATTTAATTATTGTATAGATTTTCACTGAGTCAGTATATTTAATGCCAATAGTAATAACTGTTACTTTATAGGTTAGAATAAATCTAATGTTCATTGGTGGAACTGAGATTTAATTGGGGATCAGTTTTTAACTGGTAATTTGCATTTGTTTACCTCAATGCAATGAGAGCTCTACCATTCTCCTTCACTGATTGGTTAACATTCCCCCATGTGATCTCATGTGCCACATGGTTGCTGATAGTTTTTTGTTCTGCTGTGTTCTATTTATGTTTGGTTGACACCATTAGTCCTAGCTTTAACCCTTGTTTTACCTGCCATGTATTAATTGTGTGCACAAACCACAATCACAGCCAGAGGCGTAGCGACCCTTCCCGGCGCCAGGGGACAAACTTTCAATTTGGCGCCCCCCTCCCATACATTTTTTATATTTATAATCCAAAACTGAAGCTAAAATGAGCTTTTAATTATTTTTTTTCAACCCATTTTGGCGCCCCCTAGGGTCGGCGCCCTGGGACATATGTACACCCCCCCCCCCGTCTTGTTGCTACGCCTCTGGTCACAGCTATCCTTTGTGGGAGTAGCCTATATTGCTTCTCTAGAACCAGACTTGTAACTCCAGTTTTCAAAAATGTTCACTTAAATTCTTTCATGTTTTACTTTTTATTGTTAGTTTCTATATTAAGAAATGGAATTGCCATATAATAATGGGGACTGATATGCCCCATGCTTAAAACATTTAGAACTGTTTATAAATCTAGTTAAAATTGAAAAATGGAGTTAAACCTATTTGACTCCAGAAAGTGATATTCTAACTTAACATTTTAAATATTTAACTCCTGGAGAATGTGCATGTAGTCTTTGAATGTAATAATCTGTGGACTGTGACTAACTTAAACAAGCATGTTATTTAACATTCTAGATTTATTTTTAAATCCTCAACTGGTTTTACTAAAAAATGGCTCTAGCATGCTTTTATACCAATTATATTTTACATTGTATGTGCTTTGTTATTTATTATATGACAGTTTATTAAATTTTATCTAACAATTTATACCATTATCTCATTTTACTGAAGTTTCACTTGCACTTTCATTACTAACTCTTTTGAAGCCTTATTCAAATTATTTTTTTATATACGAAGTTTTACCATAATTTCTTTAAATTTACTATTAATTAAATTCTTTAACCAACATCAGTTACAACAACCTATTTTAAAATAAGTTTGAATATATCATATTCTATTTTTAGATTTTATCAGCATGTCTTTATAAATAGAATAGTTAATGATTTCTTTAGCCTGACAAAGCTAGGATAATAATGTGACATAAATAAAAACTAAGCAATGTTTATAATCCTAAGTAAAAGTGAAATCAGCTCCAGTCAAAAATCTAAATGTTCTGCTGTGTTGTAATCAAGATGTCTTTTTAAAAAATATATTAGATTGTGCCTCTGTATGTTTTAATTACATCTGTATGTTCAGATAATGAACCTAAGCAATAATTAAAGAAATGATTACTATATGTGTCTTGCTGCTTTTGTCTCTATTTTTATGTTATAGTAGTAATGTTGAACACTATAACTATATTAGTGTTGTTTGATCAATAATTTTAAAACTAAAAACCTAAAATGAATTTCTGAGCTAGAAAGAATACTCATAACATTAGGTAGAAATATCCAATATAAGACCACTATCTTTGAATTAAAACTTAATGCTAAAAGCAGCTATATTTATGAGCATTAGACACCAAAGCTGAATCTAACAGTTTAGCTCAGTTCATTTTCATTAAGTCCATAGAGGAGGTGAAGTTAGTAAAAATCATGTTTCTTTTTTTACCACTTCAAAATGAGGGTATTTTGTAGTCAGCTCTATGCCAAGCTGCCTGTTTTAAACTGTGGAGTCAGGTACCCATAAGATTTGGGTGGACTCAGGGTTATGTATTAGCATTCAAGTATTTTACCATTTGACCCTAGTCTCTTGATATAAATAGAAAATAATCTAAAACTGCACTACATCCACTAATATACATCATCTTTTCTCGTTTGTGCCCAATATATGTGGCAGATGAGGTAGAATTGGTCTGCTTCAGAGACCTCGGCATATGAAGGGATCATGTAGTCAACACTATGCTCAGTCGCCTTTGTTTTTCCTAACAATTAGGTACCAATATGAGCTGAGTGGACTCAGGGACATTCTACTGACATGAGTCCAGATTTGAACTCGACTTTCGGGTTAGCAGTCTCTCTACCGTAAGGCCACGCTGTCCGATACTAATAAACATAATGAATCCATATGGAAACTTTTGTTTGTTGCCATCAACTATGTGATCCTGGCTAACTAAAAAAAAATATGACCCTATACAACTCAACACATTCAATATTATCCTAATACTCTAGTTTTCAACCCAATCCAATAAACACTCAACCTAATCAGAATTATACAAAGCAACAAAACTGTGAGGAGAATGAGATTTATTCCAACCAAACTGTCTTTACAAAAAATAATCAAACAAGATCTGTATATAAATATTTGAGTTGCATTAACACACTGATCCTCTGTAACAGAACATTCAAATAATCTTGAGAGGTAAGATAAGTGTTCCTGATACTTGCACAAGTTTGGTCAGTTTTGGTGGGAAAAAAACAAGTTTGAAGGATATTTTTGTGTCTGCATGATTTTCATAAGACAAAAATGACAGTTCTTTGCTAGAATAGAATTTAAAACCAATATTTTAATAAAAATAATTAAGTCTTAGTTAATCAAGACCAATGATAAATAACAGACATACAAAGCTAAAGAAATTATTAAATCTAATTAATATGCTTCAAAATTTAATTATTAAAAATGGTAATCAAAAATAGTTTAAAATAGTTTTATTTTATCAAATGTTTATGCCAGATTGTGGACTAAACCAAAAACAAAAAAAATTATTTAAATCCTCAAGGCATTTTGTCTTACAAGCAACTAAAATACAAAACTCCACCACCCAAAGCTGTTTTGATTTGTTTTTTTTTTGCTTTAGTAATTGTAACTGTTAGTACATGTTTTGACATTTTATCAGCACTCCTGGGTTTGCTGAAGGCCTTGTCAACCCTCATTACTGGGTCAAGGTCAACTGGGCCAAGTTCACAAGCTGGGCTATGATGAATTGGCTGGAGTAAATTAAGTCATATCTACTTCTATTATACTTGCTATATCTATAATTCACACAAAAAAAATAATATCTAAAATTGTAAAATAAAAGTTACAAAATGTAAAACTTATTTTAATTATTTTTTTAAACATCACACTTTTAGTTTTAACACAGAAAGATTTTGTCTCAAAGCTGGCAAGTTTTTGCATTAACTTTATCAAATTCCCTTGATGAGATCAAATTTAACAGAAGGAAGTCTTCACCCAGCATATTTTGAACACCATGGTACAAGTTTAATCAAAACATTGTGCAAAATATGTGTGCTATATTATGTGCTCAGTATATGTGCTAGGTAAACCTCACATGTCATCTGACGCCACACCAATGTCACCTCACACCCATATAACACCTCACATCACCACACTATCTAGTTCACCCCCTGTCATTATTTGTAAAGCTCTTATTCAACTTTTTTCCCCAACTATTCTAGGTAAAGTAATCTCCAATGTGGGTAATAAATACACAATCTTTATATACAGTACAACACCAGGAATGACACACATTGTTTATATGCAACACAAGGTACATCAGAGCAGTACAAGATACATTTTTTGGGACTGGTAATAGCATAGAATATTTACACCTTACTAAAACAGGGGTCAACTCAAAGTTTAGACAGAGAGCCAATTTAAAAAGTATTTGGGCTGAAAATAACATTAGAAAAAGCAGATTACTTCTTTTGTTGGTTCTGATACATTGAACAACTGAAACAAAGTTACAAAAAATGTAGACTTCTGGGAAAAACTAGTTGCCTACTCCATCGTTGAACAGGAAATATTTTAATACGGCTCAATAGTGTGCCTTAAAATTATGGTCTTTGAATATTTTCAGAAGTAATAGACAGGCAATAGTGTAAGTGATAGGTCTAATAGCTTTAATTTTTCTTCATTTATTTGCAACAATCTCTAAATTAAGAAAAAAAGTTTTGATTCAATGAGTTGGATGCACTGAAGGGCAATAGGTTTATGATCCCTGTGCTAAGAAAGAGAAAACTTATTTGAACTATACCGCTCTATAAATTATTTAAATAAAGTAACTATGGGAATCTAATGGAGAATGTAATGCATACAGATCTACTAGTTACAATTCATTGAGATCTAGTCTTCTACTTTACAATGTATACAATATAGACTTCTATTACAATTGATATAATCTCTTGCAGTTAATGAACAAAAAAAACAATGAAACAGCACTTGTTTATAGAATATAAAATATTACACAATATATACCTTTCTTTGTGTAGAAGAAACTCCATTCATCTACTCTAGCCATACCCATTAAAGCATTTCAATACCAAAATTAAAAATCTAAAGCAATGTGCAGTGTCTGCATCAAAAAAATCAAGTAAAAATCTGGAGTGCTTTACACTGTAAAGAAATGGAGGCTTAAGTACAAAGCAAAAAAAAAAATGGTGTAGAAACTAGTGAAATAGTTTGATATTTGTTTATAATAAGAATTATTTTGAAGGAGAAAATTTGTGTATACCATTATTACCATGATTTTTAAAAAAAACTATATAAAAGTAATTAATATCGCAGTTATGAGCCTTGTGAAGAAGTTTGTAGGGAATTTATATGGGACACTTCTCAAGCATGACAAGGTCTAATAGACTTGAACGGTAGATGAGACTTGATGGTACACAAATCAAGCATAACCACAAAACTTGTACAGTAGATGGTACACAATTCAAGCATAACCACTAAACTTGCACAGCAGATGGTACACAATTCAAGCATAACCACAAAACTTGTACAGTAGATGGTACACAATTCAAGCATAATCACAAAAATTGTACAGTAGATGGTACACAATTTAAGCATAACCACAAGTCTTGTACAGTAGATGGTACACAATTCAAGCATAACCACAAAAATTGTACAGTAGATGGTACACAATTCAAGCATAACCACAAAACTTGTACAGTAGATGGTACACAATTCAAGCATAACCACAAAAACTTGTACAGTAGATGGTACACAATTCAAGCATAACCACTAAACTTGTACAGCAGATGGTACACAATTCAAGCATAACATAAAACTTGTACAGTAGATGAAAATCAACAATCAACATGAATTTGACTCCGCATGAGAGCCTTGCATTAACACTAAAGAATTGTTAAGCAGGAATAATCTCCAAGAGCTAGATATAATGTTTGCGCTGTTCACCCATACATTATTTCACTAGCAAGGCATTAATTGTTACAGGAACAAAATAGCACATGTAAAGTATTCTGAAACTTCATTCAATAACAAAGTGTTTCAGAATGTATGAGTATATTGTATAAATATTAACGAACCACATACATAATGTTATTTCTGCACATTTTACCAAGTTTTTCCAGGAGGAAATTGTTATGTCCAAAATATATTACTGTAAAAATATTTAAGTTTAAGTAAACCTTGTTATCAAAATGTTAATTTTGTTCTCAAAAGGATGGGATTTCCTAAGAAAACAAGTAAGTCAACTTACATCTCTGATTCAATGAGATTAATTTTTAGATTTGTATTTTAAAAGCTTGTTACATATATGTAATCATATGATGAAACTTAAAAAGTGTCTACACTTGCGACAAATATAATACATGTCTAAAAAAAACTTGTGACAAGTCGATGATGGATAAAATGATTTTTCCCATGGAATATGAATTCTTTCTTGCTACAAGTTTATTTTTCTAGACATGGATAGTATACTTGTCGCAAGTGTAAATACGGTGTAAGACTTCATAAACTAAATAGACATTTTTGTTTAAAAATTAAAGAGACAGACTTCTGGTACAAATAAGAAAAAAAAAATCAATAGGGTTAATCACAAGTAGATGAGAGATCACAATTTGTGCAAGTCTAATGATGGCAGCTGCAGTATTGAACTCACCACTACCACAAGCAGTTCGCAGCATAAATTCTCACCAAGTCCAGGCGGCAAGAAAAAACATCTAAACTTTAGAAAAATCTATGTCAACAATGCTAAAATTCACTGAATAAAGAGTTGCTCCCGGCAACATGCTTGCTGTCACAGCTACAGGCTAGATTGTATTTTTTATATAGCCTCTCTTAAATCTAAATCCAAACATTTAAAGCAACTCAAATTTAAAAAAAACCAAACATACTAACTTCAAACACAAGAGAATCAAGCAGGGACTCACCTGGTAACTCCTCATACAAACATGGACACCATAAATAGAATACTGTATTTACATAGGCTTGTAGATAATGAAGAATGATAAGGTTTTTGTCTCAAATCATCAGTTTTCACCAGTAAAACAAAAACTGGATACACAATTACAACTAGTAATCCAACAAAAATAAATCTACAATAATAACAAAAAATTAAAAAAATGGTGAATTATTGCTAGGAAATATTTCTTGGTCCAAATCTAATAAGTACCCAAATAAAACACTAGACACAACTAAGTATCATTTAGCTAACCTGTAAATCATGTTCCGTTCAATGATATGTGTGCTCGTATAGAAACATGTTAATACAAAAAAAAAATGTTGCAAACAAACTTGTAGATTCAACAAACAAAAAATGGAATTGTCTTTCAAAAACATAATTACTACACAAACTTAAAAAAAAACTTTAAAAATCAAATAAAACTTTTTAAAAAGTACTACAAATAATTAATGGTATAAGAATAAAATATTTTATTTTACTGATAAAAAATTCTAGTCTAGTATAGCTAGACAAAACATTTGCAACCCTTTGCAACAAGGCATCACAAGTAGATGGAATCCTAAGCTAACATTATAGACATTGTAAAAACATTCAACATGACCATCTGTGTGCATTCAAAGTCTACCTAATCAATAGCATTAATTTCCCCATCTTCAGCAATGTGCATTCAAAGTCTACCTAATCAATAGCATTAATTTTCTAATCTTCAGCAACGTGCATTCAAAGTCTACCTAATCAATAGCATTAATTTTCTAATCTTCAGCAACGTGCATTCAAAGTCTACCTAATCAATAGCATTAATTTCCCCATCTTCAGCAATGTGCATTCAAAGTCTACCTAATCAATAGCATTAATTTTCTAATCTTCAGCAACGTGCATTCAAAGTCTACCTAATCAATAGCATTAATTTTCCAATCTTCAGCAACGTGCATTCAAAGTCTACCTAATCAATAGCATTAATTTTCCAATCTTCAGCAACGTGCATTCAAAGTCTACCTAATCAATAGCATTAATTTCCCCATCTTCAGCAACATGCATTCAGAATCTACCTAATCAAAATCATGGATATCAGTCATCAACAAATTTTAAATTTATACTGGCTAATTTCCATAGCCTTATAATCATACTGTTAAAAAATAAAAATGACTGACTGCACAATTTTACATTATTCATTGAATAACTTATCTCAAGATTTAAGTCATGGGCATACTAGCAATGGACAAAACAGTTGGTCTATAGCAAACTTAACTTACATCTACCACCACCCAGGCGATAACTCATGGACTCAGAACACAAATGTTTATTCAATGTATCACATTCAATGATGTGATCACATATATATATATATATATAAGATAAATATTAAACATAAAAGATTTTATACTAAATTAATGCCAATATACCTCTGCTAAACACATTCAAAAGTAAGAAAAGCAGCTGCTGATGGCACATTTCAACAACTTTCTAAATATGTAAAATGATATCAAAACGTGTAAATAAAAGTAACATTTTTTTTACCCCTATATTGTCCACACTTTTCAAAATACAATCCATTTTTGAGAAAAGATCAGGTTTAGTTTAGCAAAGCACCAGCAGAAATCTGATGTTATTGCACAATAAACAACTACTAGACTTCTCCCATCAACTTTGATGCCCTGCCTAAATTTCTATGTATGTTTACAAGCCTTTCTAACGGAAACAAAATTTCTACCACAGTGTCCAATACCAACAAGTGTCAACAGGTACTGCTGAACTTCTAAATGATTGAGCCCCAATCAGCAATCACTAGACCAAATGTAGGAGAGAAAATAAAATTTTGACCAAAGTTGCAGAATTTTCCTGTGAGATTACAATTTGAGTATCAAAATGTCATAGGTAGAAAATGTGAAACAAATGTGAAAAAAAACATTTCTTTTGTATCACTCCTTGATGAGATTACAGCCAATCCGTGGAGTGTATTTAATAAATAAATACATAAGGACATGCCAATTCTAGGTAACAGTTTCATTCTTTGTTTCAAGCATACATCTTGCCTTCATCCATTCAGATACAACTGTGTCCTAAACACCACCACCACTCCTTTCAACTGTGATTTTCTTGGTCAGTGCTTCGTTATCCTCTAAAGCCTTAGCAAATCTTGAATTGACAACTGTTCCATGTTCTATGGCACACATAAGCTGAAAAGCAAGTAGTTAACAATATTTATCAAAAGACGTGGAAAATTAAATACTATTTTTTTTTAAAGAATTTTAAAACAGTTCCATTTATTATTAGATTAATACAATGGTTCATATATTTTTTATAAGTTCTTGATCACATTCACTGTAGGCAATGAGGAAAATGATACCAATGTAAAACCACTAGTTAGGTTGGGAGAAGGGGGGATGTATTAAAAATTAAAAGCAAATGCAGTTCAATGTAACTTGAGATAACTGAGTAAAGGACAAGGATGTTTATTATTTTCATACAGTAAATTTTAAAAAAGATAACAGAAAAATGATGACTCTAAACAGCAAACAGAATACATAAATACAAAGTTTAATTCAGATAAAAAAAAAAAGATGTTTCATAAAAAAAAAGATTACCTGTAGAAACTCCCCAATATCCACTTGTGCATTTCTATTGAGATCTACTTCACACAGAATATCATGCAACTGATCCTCTGGTATTTTCTCCCCTACATTCTGAAAACAAAATTATACATTCTTACCCAAAGCCACAAGTACCTTCACAAGACAGCCACTAAACAATGGAAATATTGCAGCAACAAAAATGAAAAGGAACTAACCTTAAAGTATCTGCGTAGATCATTGATGGAGATATAGCCCTTATTTTCCACATCCAAAGATTTAAACCGCCTAACATACATATTAATTTGATCTTTTGTAAAATTAAGTGGGGCATCTTTTTCTGTAGCACGTTTAATGTCTAAACCCATTTCAGCCCTAAGATAGCCTTCAGCGTGCTGCAACTCTGCCTGGAAACAAACAAATGGCATTCATTAAAAAACAGCATTATTCAAGTAAATTTATTCCATTGCTTATTCCATGATGTTACTTTTTCAATATCTTTAATTTAAAAATATTTTAGAATTATATCAAACAATAGCGTGTAAAAACAAAATAAGGGATAAACAGCAGAGTTACATTTTTGTAGTTGTAAGATTTACACATTATTAAAAAGGATCAAAAGGTTAAGAAAAAGTGATTAGATTGCATGTTAAAATTCATGTCATTTCACTGCATAGATCACAGTGAAGGTTGCACTGAAGACTCAAACTTGTGAATATGTTCTAATTATGCTAACAACAAAACAAACAATTGAAGATCAATCAACACAAAGTTCAATCAGGAAACTAAAAAGCAGATAGGTCAAACCTGAAATGAGTATTCAATCAATTCAAACCAACAGAGTCAATCACCCCCCAAAATAATAAATTACCCAATGGTAGCATGAAACTTGGTAAATTATGTTCAGGTGCTCTTTAAGCTCAACAAATATGATCAAATTATTCTTAAGACCAGAGTCCTCAGTATCAAAGTGTTGTCTAGGATGATCAGGTCACCCCCAGTGAGAATGGTCTACCTTCTCATACCTTCCCCTGCTCCATTTATATTACATTCAAGGAAAGGCCAGGCCATGCATTTTGTCAAACATTTGAAAGCCAGAGCTTGTGAAGTGAAAGCCAGGGCTTGTGAAGTGAAAACCTTGTTGAAGAAACAGGAAGGACCCAATCTTCTCAAGTGGTGCATCTTCTCAAGTGGTGCATGTCTAGAAGTGTTCTCACTAACAAATGGACAGGACAATGGCCATGGACAAGTCCCTCTTTGAAGTACTAATAAGAAGTTCAAGCTACTAATCAAACAACAAATTCAACATGAATGCATAAAACGTAAAAAGCAAAACAAAAAAAAAACAAATGCAACCAGCAACTTCAACTAGAAGAACCAAGACTCCAACAGGGAGCACTAACTAAGGTGTTACCCCTATTGTTTAAGAAAGGGAGGTTTGCAGGGTTTTTCTTGGGCTCGTCTACTGCAAGGGTCAAACCTCTGGGATGAGCCATCACCACAGGTCTTACATGTGCCACAGGGGTTAGGGCAGGTTTTACATGGGCAGGGATCTGGCCCCTCAAAGTCACAGGGCAGCCCAGGACATGTTGGGCATCTATAGCAGTTAATTATTGTCCTGGCCATATCATTACACAGATAACACTCCGCTTCTTCTAGTTCACGCTGAAAGTGATTCAATTGGTGGTTAACTTACACTAGTCTACAAAAATGTGATTTGATGGAAGATTAAATTATCCAAGTCTTTACAATAAATGTGATTCAATGGAAGAGTAAATTATACCAGCTTACACAAAATGTGATTTCACGGAAGATTAAATTATATGTCTATGAAAAAAATGTATTCAATGGAAGAATAAAATACACCAGTCTACATTAGCATGATTTCAGCTGGTTAAGTTATTCCAATCTACAAAAACATCAATAAACTGATGCTTAAGTTACACATGTCTACAAAAAAACAGACAAACCAGCCTACAAAAGGCATGATGAAAAGTTAGAATATATCTTCTTTAAGCACCGAACCCTGTGAAAAACCTAGAATAATGAAAAACAAAATAAATTTAGACTAGTCTCTTACCTTTTTGGTTTTTTCATCCCATTTGAGTTCCTCAGCCATGATATCAACAATTCTAGGCAGAGCTTCCTGGGCTGCATGAACATTGATGAATGAAAGGCGTGTTCGGCGAGCAACAATATCAATGGCCCTGCAGGCATATTCTCTGATTGCATATTTGACCTACAAATAAAAGTAATCATTTAACCAAGATATTACTAGCTAGTACATAACATTTGTAAAAAAAATAGCAAGTCATGAAAATCTAAATAACATAAAATGACACTTTGTACAACAACAAACCTCAGCCTCAATGTAAGGATATTCCTCATGAAGTCTTTTACCAATAATTGGCCATCTTTTGCCAGTCATCTTGGACAGACTTGCCACTTTGAAAGCTTTGTCACCATAGGTTTGAGCTAAATGTTGCGCAACCTTGTTTCAAATATAAATATTTCATTAATTTAAAAAAAAAAAACAAAAAAAAAACACAAAAAAAAAACATCTGAATTATAGAAGATTTAAAAAAAAAACAATTAAAAAAAAACAAAAAAACACCATCTGAATTATAGAAGATGTTCCACTTACAGCATTTTCTAAACCATAATCTTGGACCAGTCTGATGAACAGGGTAGGTGACCAGCCATGGGCTCCCTCCAGTAGCAGCCCCTTTGTTGCACACTCGCCAGTGGGCTGCAGACAGCATTCTTGCACAGCTCTGTCCACGGTTTCCTCTGCCATAGAGCGGTAAGTTGTCCATTTCCCACCTGAAACAGCAAGTTTGTCAGGTTTAGCTTCATTCACAATAATAATTACACCAGGATTGAGTCGTAAATTAAGAATTAAATTTTAGACTATTTACAAAGTAAAAATGCTGAAGTATATAACTTAAGTAAAAATGGCAATGTATACAGGTGTCTAAAAAAGGTGAACTCTACTTCAATGGCCTCATAGACCATCAGGTTCAAAATGGAACTTTACTTATAGAGCTGCCTCATTGGCCAATGTATACAGCTGACTAGCTTTCCAGTATCTGTCTAACTCTCTTGAAAAGGTATCAAATGAAAGGTTTTCAGATTAGTGATAAATACAGCTACACAGATCCACCCTCCCATTACAAAAATATAAACATAAGTGCTTGAGTATAATTAACAAACAAGGAATCAGCTTTGATGAAGTACTCACCAGCTATTGTGATCAGTTTATTTTTAGACACTTCAATAATGTGATTCCTGGCAATAGACTGGGTGTCATTTTTGTTGGGATCAGAGACAAGTGGACGTATACCACTCCAAGCAGATAAAACATCACCACGCCGAACTGCAAAATAAACCCAAACATTCAAGACATAGCTCAACGGTGATAAGAGATCAAAATGTAAGATATATAGCTAAACTTAAAAAAAAAAAAAATTATTACATGGCTGAATTGCTAAAAGAAAAACACTAAGGACATCTAGCAACCACATATTACAAAATTGGTTTAAAAAACTCACCCTCAACATCAGGACTGAGATAATTCCTAATCTCATTCAAAATGAATTGAATATCTTTTTCAGTGGGCATTGGATTGTCAGTCACACAACAGGGGTCATCAGTGGTACCTGGGTACAAGTTATTTGAAAGACATAGTTAGCAACTCGACTGGATTCTTCAAGGCATGTTGCTTTTGTCAACTAGAACTACACTGGCTATAAAAAAACTTGTGAGAGATTGCATCAAATACTTTCTTTTAGATGTTTTCATTAACTAGAAGTAACTACAGTGAGAGAAAGCATAAAATTATTATATTTAGATGTTTAGATTAACTAGAAGTAACTAAAGTGAGAGATAGCATTAAATATTTCTCACCCGCTAAGGTGACATTTTGCCACGGGAGAAAGAAAATAACTCTGCCGTCCGATGTTGATGGATCAAGCAGGCCCATGCTAGTGGGGCTGTAGTAGTCAGGCAGGACAATGTGAACACCAGCGCTGGGTTGGCAGATCTTCTGGACCTGTTTGTTGGCCATCTGACGAATGGAATCTGTATATGGACCTGTGGCGTTGATTACACACTTGGCTTTGATTTCGTACTCCTCACCTGAAAGCAGAATTAGTTTGTTAGAAAAGCAAACTTTTAGAATAATTTATAACATTAGCAGGACTTAACGCTTACATGTTTACTTGCATTGATAAACTAAATAATCTGTGCAGGAAAACAATCAATATATTAAACAGTCCAGACTGATTTGTATATGTTGTAAATATATGTAAAATATAGGTAAACTGTATCCCTATATAATGTATGATCAGTACACAACTGTGGTAGGTAATATTTGTTAATAATACATGAATATGTATTAATGATGCTTTCAGAAATAAAACTACATAAAACAGTGAAGAAGTTCTATCTTTAGCAAGAGCACCGAAAACTGCGCTTGTACATCCAAATTGAGTATTGATTTACCTGTGAGAGTGTTTCTCACCAGAGCCCCACACACTTTCTCCTTTCCATCCACACAGGTAGTCAACAGCTTCTCGCACTTGGTGTAGTTCAAACAATACGCCCCGTGGCGTACAGCTGTAATTGCCAGTGAGACCGCCATTCTTGCATCATCATGCTGACCTATTGGGCAGAAGTTCAAAAATGGGGTTTGCTTTAATCATATAGTAATACCAAACAACAAAGGTCATAAAAAAAAACATAAAATAAGAATCAAAAACAAATTTCTACAGTTACTAACTAAAAATCCATGGGTACTTTCTATATGAGTCAAAGAAAACAATTTGAGTAAAAACTATGACTGTCTTAAGACATAAAACCTACACTTACCATCATAATAAACAAGAGCAGCTTTTAGTTTGTCTTTCTTCAACATAGGGAATTCCTCAAGAGCTCTTCTTTTTGATAACAGATAACTAGGCTTAAGCAACTCGCTGCCAGCAACGAAGTCATAGGCTTTCACACCAGCCCAGTAATAAGGAACTTGCCACCACCTTATAAGAGTAAAGGGGAATTGGTGAAATAATGTAACGCTAGAATAATAGAATGATAAGAATACATTTAAACAACTTCCTTACTTGTAGACAGGCAACATTATAGGCAGTGGGTAGGCCAAATGAGGAGCAATTTCAATAAGATTGGCACGTTCTGCTAAAGCTTCTTTCACCATTTTGTACTGAGGGTAAAAGCAATACAGTGGTTGATAATATTTTCAAAACTTCTTTTTCATTTTTGTTAAGTAGAATCCTCATCGCAGATTTACAAACATGGTAACTAAATACTTATGAAAATCTAACAAACTAGTTCAAAGAGAAAGTTCAATTTTAATAAAGATAGATATGAGTTAAGAACTACTTTAGACCAATAAGCATTAACACCAAGGGTCATGTTTGCATGTATCATTTCTGTAGATGAGTTGGTACAATTTTCACGTGGATGGTTTTACATCAATTGTGATACTGCCCAAACTGTGACCATTTATTTTAAGTAAATGTATTTGCGTTTTAAAACACTGGCTTATAATAAATAATCAAGAATTTAAATATTTAGACATTACTAGAAATCAGTATAATTACCTGTTCGTAATCTAAATTGAAAACTGCTTTTTGGAGATAGCGCACTCCACCATGAATCAATTTAGTACTTCGACTGCTGGTGCCAGAAGAGAAGTCAAACTTCTCAACCAAACCGGTCTTCAATCCTGGTTACAAGTTTAATAAAACAGGTTATCTCTTTTAAAACACTACATTAATTATCTAAAAAGTAACTTTATTCTTAGGATTAGTGAAAAATGTGGTTTTTCTGTACCTCTAGTTGTGGCATCTAATGCAACACCAAGGCCAGTGGCACCACCACCAATAACCAAAACGTCCATCTCCTGGCATTTTATTCCTTTAATCAGATCTTCTCTTGTTGGCAATGGACAATTTATTCGTTGTAATTCATCTTTACTCAGCTCTCCTTCAACAGCAGGCTGAAAAGTATAGAAAAGTGAGTGCTAGATACCTGTAGTAGAATAAATGTGTTCATGGATTAATGTGGAATGTCAACAATTCAGTCAACACTGAAATTCTCCTTTCAACCATGTTGAAAAATATGTATGTTTATTAAGTAAACATAGATATTTGTTCTTAAAAGAAGTACATCACACAGAATTGGCACATACTCTATATTTTATTTTGAAATTTACAAAATTGAAAAAGAAAGATGCACATAAAAAGCAGGAAGTCAGTTTTGAACATTTTTCTTCTGTGTTACATCAGGTAAGGTGCTAGTAAAAAGAAGACCCACATTTCATTTTCTTAGATCTGGTTTTCATATAACACCAACATTCTAAAATGGTTGGGGGTAATATATTATAATTTTCTTTTAAATAAAACATAACTTCTACAATTATATCTAAAAATTCTAAAGGAGATGTAACAAGCCATTTTCCTTAAAAAAATGATACACATTTAAGTGCTCATTTGTGTTCCGTAATATATGCATGATCCTTAACGATCAAATATTAATGTATAAACACTTGTATTTACCAAATGACAATTTGAATGCACATAAAATTAAAACAATTTTGAAAATAGATACCTTTTTGTAGCGGGATGCCAATGATGGATAAACAACAGTAGCTCCATAGAAAACTCCAGCTCCTGCTACAGACAGAATAGCTAAGCGTTTTATTAATTTTCCTGCCTTCATCACGAGTGATTACTGTTCTTTCTGTTTCATGAGCCTATACATTGAGAAGAGTGATAATTCTTTTATCCTGACATTAAAGTTTTATAACCTAATAATCAACTGCCCAAAAAGAATCCACCAGATTCATGGCCAGCCACCATAACTTATGGTAAGATTAACCTCACCACATAAAGATATGTATACATTTTTAATGTCTAATGTGTTTGGTACAAAGTTAGATATATTCAGAAATAGGCCAAGCAGACAAGAGAGGTACATTGGTTCAAACAGCCATTGGCCAAGCAGTGAAGAGTAGTGAGATAGGATTAAGAACCAACAGATAGGAACCAATGAGAAGTGATGACAAGTTATGTCACAGTCAGCTGGTCAGTCAAAAGATATAGGGAGTCCGTCAGAGGAGCGTGCATTAGACAGATGAGTTGAGATGTTAAAATCTAGTAGGAGTTAGGTTAAGGAGTTTAAAGTTGAGGGATTGAGTGGAGATAAAGCTGAGAAGTTTTAGAAAGTAGTAGTGTAGTATAGTATACACCAGTAGGATATTCGGACTTATGCATATAATTAACTTGGCTACAATTTAACTTAGAACTGTGTCAGTGTTACTATATTTCTCACTGGGGAATTCTGTTAGGCATTAGAAGAAGGGTTGATCCCCTAACCTAATATACAAACAGTATTGAAAAACAGACTCGCACCACAAAATGCATTCATGCCCAGCTTGTCACATAAAATTTGTTTTGCTTTCTCCTAACCTTTAACATAAGTTTTCATCAAGCAGTGGTAGTGGTACCATTTGTAAAGAAAAAGTATTGGACTTGTATAATTTCACTTTCAAATTACATTGACAGATTGTAAATTAAGTTTTTTGACACAGAGTTGCTGTGTCTTGACAACATGTCTTCATCTGATGATCCATAATAAACTAACCATGAAGGCTTAGACAGATTGAAGTAGGTTTAATGTTTAATTTTAGGTAATAAAATCATATTTAATAAGATGAGCCTTAAAATAAGCTAAACATAATTAATTAATAAACTTAAATGTGTGGTTTGAATTTAAAGTTATGTGCAAATATGCATAAAATTAAACCGTGGCAATGCAGTTAGTCCAAATAGCCTTCACAACGCTGGTTGCCAGCATAAGAAAATATTTATCATATTCAGTTAAGTCAATTTGCATAATCACCTCATGAACTGTTTTTATAATTTTTTAATTTATTCTCTACATTATTTTCAATTGTTACACACTAAGTCTTTTTTTTTACATGACAAAAAAAATCCCAAGGCAAAAGCAGACATGCCTTATGCCTAACCCTGTCAGCCAAAAGTAGGAACAGTCATGCCTAAAAAGAGGGATTTGAAGCCAAAAAGATGAACATGCGCGGACACTACTAAGTCAAAAATAAAAATTAGTCTAATAGCATTAGTATGCTTCTAGTTATATATAACTAGTCTCTTGGCCACATGTAAATACTGCTTAATGTCAGCTTACATTTAAAAATTAAGTTAACCAGTAACCTGAGCCACCCCCCCCCCCCCCCACACACATACAATAAAAACCATAGCTTTGACATACTATTATTGATTTGATTATTCCTGCCTTGCTATGTTCTTAGGCTATATGAACAACAAATGCTAAAGGTTTCGAATATAGTATAAAATATAAGTGTTAAGACCTAGATCTACCTAGTATAAGTCCTAGTTACTTTTTACTAAGTTCTTCATAATAATAGTAGACTAATACTAGTAGACACAACTTATAATGTCTTACAAGATAGATCTGTAACTTAGTTAATCTAGTAGATCTACTATTTAGATCTAGAAATTATCGTTAGTGGTGATTTTATTGTATTTTTCTCCCTACATGTTATTTTAGGCATTATTTAAATCTACGATTCAATTACAAATACTAAAATAATGTTCAGAAGCTAGATTGCCCACATTATCTATTAGTAGATCTAGTATTAGATGATACTTGTAAATATTGTAAGTAAACTAGGAGACCGAAACTGTGCCAAAAAATATTTTTATTTATATCTGAGACAGAAATAATTAATTGATAAATAAAATTTCATAGGCCCTAAATTTACTTTTTTTTAAATCTACCTGGCAAAGAACATACATTACATTCACATTAGTAAGCCTTAGTTAATAGCTGATCTCTGTTCGTTTGTCCTTGTAAAATAGCATTGTGCTTTTAAATCTTTCTCGATTTTCTTTCTTTATTTACAGACGTGACATCACCGGCTCAGGAGGTGTATCCGATTAGCCAGGCAGGCCTCATACACAGCAAACTCTGACTAACTCAATAACTGGCTTGGATATTCGTTAGATTACCGTGTATTGATCGCTTCTGTCCTTTAGTTCTAAACAGGCATTTCTTCAACCCCACTGAAAACAAGATAACTTTGTACCCCACCATACAATACCAGAATCTTTCTCAATTTAACTTTAATAAACTCTCCCTACAGCAGTACTGTTTTATAAATTGGTTCACTATTAACTGGTTAATATAAAAATGATACTAGATTCTATAATTAACCAAAAGATAAGGGTATTCTCACATTGCTAGAATATTTGGTAATCTATCGTTTTGAGTACGTAAAATCGCCCGCGATTTGTAATGTGAAAAACAGGTGACTCCTTAAATTTTAATAATTATTTCACATTTTGAGGAAGATTTATGTTTTAAAAAATTCAAAAATGTTTCCTTGATTCATTTATGTACCTGTTTTCAAACAATTGAATTAAAACTTTTCTGTAATAAATGAAGACTAGCGATGTTTCCAACAGATGCAACCATGCTCATTTACTATAGCAGCCATCTTGTCTAAGTTTTATTTTTATAAACTTTTAGCGCCAGATTCAGGGGGAAGCCACTCTATTTTACAAATGGCTGCTGTTTATATAGCAAATCCTGCTCACAAACACTGCTGTTAAAAGTTAATTTCTTGCCTATATCGATATATTTAGCCATTGATTTAGGTTTATTATTCATTTATCTATAATATTTGACACAAAAGTATGACAATATACTTCTATTAAAGCCTTGACAATGAGGTAACGTTTTCGTACATAAATAGCCGCGGGCGATTTTACGTACCCAAAACGATAGATTACCGAATATTTTTCCAAGTATTTCATAGATTTCTAGGCTTACACTGCAATAATAAAAAGTAAAAAAAAAAAGTGGTAGGCAAACTAAGTTGAAGACTGGAGAGAGTCAACAATCTCGCAGTAGCTCTAGAATCTAGATTTCTAGACATAATCTAGGCAAACAAACTTCCAAAGATCCTGCAAAAACTAATCTCTAGGTCTTAGGATCTGGCTCTTGTTACAATGAACTAGGTACTAGGATTTGGCTCCCGTTTTACGATGCGCGGCGAGATTTTCCTCCCGTTACCCAAATATCGAGAGTTGGCGGACGCGCGAGTGCGAGTGTTTCGTAATTTTTATTATTCTCCGTTTTTGCCTGGTCAATTTTATTGCGAGGAGTATTATTTTGAAGAAAAATGGACTTAGCGCATTATATATTTTTTAAAAATATTTTCATGGACTTTTTTTTATGGAGTGTTTCATTGAAAATAAGGTAAGTTTGACTTGTTCCCTAAACTTCTCTATGGGCTCTACTTGAAATTTTATTGCATAATCTCCATTCTTATCCATTTTTCTCTATTACTGTAAAAAATCGTAATGATTGGATTTGTCTCTTAGCTGCAAAACGCTTCACAGTTTGGTGTACTGTTTGGGACTTTAACTGTTTACAGACTGGAAGTGAAAGTGAACCGGAAGTTGTGGGGTCTCGCTACTAACACTTGTGTGACTTAGTCTAGCTGATATGCTTGTATTACTGTAATTACGATTGTGGCGATCGTTGTTTTGACTCGGGCGATAGTGGCGAACGCTGTTTTGATTCGGGCGATAGTGGCGAATGCTGTTTTGATTCGGGCAATAGTGGCAAACGCTGTTTTGACTCGGGCGATAATGGCGAACGCTGTTTTGACGCCGGCAAAAGTAGCGAACGCCTTTTTTATTCGGGCGTTAGTGGCGAATACTGTTTTGACTCTGGCGCTTATGGCGAACGCTGTTTTGACACTGGTGATAGTACCGAAGGCATTTTTGACTCGGGTGTTGGTGGCGGGCGATGTTTTGACAATGGCGATCGTTGTTTTGACTCTGGCGATAGTGGGAAACGCTGTTTTACGCAGGCGATATTGGCGAGCGCTGTGTTGATGCTGGCGATTATGTCGAGCTTTGTTTTGACGCCCGCGATAGTGGCGAGCGTTGTTTTGACGCCGACGAGCGTTGTTTTGATGCCGGCGATCGTTGTTTTGACGCCGGCGATATTGGCGAACGATGTTTTGCCGCCGGCGATAGTGGCGAACGTTGTTTTGACGCCGGCGATAGTGGCGAACGTTGTTGCGCCGGCGATAGTGGCGATCGTTGTTTTGACGCCGGTGATAGTGGCGAACGTTGTTTTGACGCCGACTAGCGTTGTTTTGATAGTGGCGAGCGTTGTTTTGATGCCGGCGATCGTTGTTTTGACGCCGGCGATAGTGGCGAGCGTTGTTTTGATATTGACGGTAGTGGGGGGGGGGGGGGGGGGGGAGGAGAAAGGAAGGTCTGGTATTAACAATACACATTAAATATTTGGTGTATTCAGAAAACCTTTTTATTTTGATGGGAAGGCAAATAATGTACTTGTACTGTTTACTTTTCCAGGTAGAACCTACACTTCTAAAACCAGCACATCTCTACAATATGATAAGCAGTTATATGGCCTAATGGCAGTTATATTGTCTAATGATGGAACATGTAAACGAGAAATTAAAACTATTAAAATAAATAATGTGTTTATCTTTTATTTAGGCAAACTAATTAATTTGTGATTTGAACTATTTCCTTTAAAAACCAACCAATGTTGAACTTCTCCTGAAATGTAATATATTAATGAATAAGCAAAAACACATCTTTTTAAATTAAACTATATATATAAGTATACCAACAAGTTTATTACATTTATATGAATAAAACACCTTACATTTCTAATAGATATAATTTGCCTTTTTTTTTTTAAAATTTAAATATATGCGCTCAGTTTTTCAATGATGTCAGGTGTGTCGATGACTCAGCATTTTACATTTTTACCATCCTTTACCTATTTGTCAACTATTTAGATAGAACCATCACACACACTTATTTTAAAGCTTCACTCTAGTTAGTTGTTAGCTTTAGATTCAAATAGATTGAGCCTAAACAAATAGTGTATGAACAAATTTCGTATTTAAAAATAGGGGGTGTACCCTGTTCCACCCCTTATTTTTTGTCAAACAGATAGATTTAAATACATATTTTGATTGTTTCTGTTTGAGAATAGAGTCATCTAGAGCCAGGCAAATTTTGAGACTTAAGTGCTTAATAACTCAAATTTGCCATCATGTTGCATTTCACATCAACAGGACTTCGGTTTTGCGAAATTGTATAATTTATCAGCTTTGTAGCAGTTAAAACAAAAATCTTTTCAGTTATGAATATTTATTTGATTGTAATAACTGACACATCCATAGCTCATCATTCTCAGCAAGTTTGAGCTTAATTTTCTGAATAGTTAAAATTTTAACTGAGATTGTATGAATGCACTGTATATGAAAAATTAGGGGGGGTACCCTGTTCTACTTCTGTTTTTGTTTAACTCTGCCCATAAATTTCTAATTTTATTGTTTATTATCCTTGCATATATGATAGATAAAGATATTGCAAAGTTATAACCAATTTGACCATATGGTTTACAAGCTAGGACAATTTAAGTAAACGCTTAAAAAAACTCTATCACAGAAATTGGGAAAAAACCTATGTTAAAAAAATCACCTTTTTTAATACGAAAAAAAATCATAACTATTTAACCGTTTGAGCTACATCAAAAAGGAAAACTGTTGTGTTATTGTAATTTTTTGCTCCTTTTAACTGTAGTGGTTGTTTCCCTATTAAACCAATTTTCAAAATTTATCCTAGTACCTACAATGAACACTGATTACAAGTCAATGTGTGTTGATCTAGTCCAGGTAGACTAGTAGAGTCTAGATCTAGGTCTCATGCTCCAAATATTATTTACTATTTATTAGGCGACTCTTTTTTTATAAACTATTAAAAGTTTGCCAGACAGGAATCAGGCACCAGCCTTATCAATATCAGGGCGCTCACTGCCATTTTCTCAGACTCATTCAACGTATTTTCTTGTCAAAAGCATTTTTAGCATCAAATGTGTAGACGGTTGCAAAATAAATAAATATAGGGATAGGGTATACATATTTAATGTGAAATAAACTGAACATCAATGCAAACCTTGTTAAAATGGAATATATTTCGAAAATGTAGACGAATACCGTTACATCTATTTGTAACGGGTTCTCTATGTTGTTGCCGGGGTACGGGTGACAACTCCGGAAGTGTAGTTCTAATTAGCACGCAACGTCCTTCAAGGATGGGTGCTTTAAGGTATCGATATTTATCAGTATTTCATTTTTTTATATTTTTATCTGGCGAGCACCATCGTTGATTCGTTTTATTAACATACAGTGTTACTTATGTAGAATAAAAGTTTGTTTGGTTTAAGATCTATTACGTTCGTCATATAAATGTCAAAACAACAATTACGTGTAAATTCTGCCTAAATCTAGTAATAATATCGTTACAATAAGCAATTAATTTTCTAGATTTTCAAGCTAATATTGCCAGCAGGGAAGTTTCAATATATGATAGTCGGTCTATAATAAAATGAATTATTTAATTATATTATTTAAATTAGGGATGTTTTTTTTTAATTTAAAAACTATCAACTGTATTCTATTTAAAGTACTTGGCTATGGTAGTCGAACCTATATTAATCTCGATACTGAGAAGTATTGAATAAACCAACTGTCACCTTCACCTTTTTCACCTTTTTAATTGTTTTTAAAAAGTAGTATTAGAAAGTATGTAGATCAATTATCTAAATAAACAATCTATTAGCAAATATCAGTTCAATAAAATTGAACGAGATGGATTTTATATAGTAAACATACCCTTTTACTAGTGTCCGCCCCCCCCCCCCCGAAAATATCAAGTGCCCCCCCCCGGAGAAAAATGTCTGGAAGAAACACTGTTTACTTCTCAGTACTTCATCTTATACAATATACGTAATATAGGGGACTTATTTTAATCGGACAAAAATAATAAATCCAGATTTATCAAAATTTCGGCGGTTTACACGTAATCGAGTCGGAAAAGCTGGACTTTGCAATTCTGTCCGTGTGTGTGTGTATGTGTGTCTGTAAACACGATAATTTGAGTACCGTTACACGAAATTTCATAAATAAGTATTATATCAAATGTGTGGTTCCGTATCAACTTTTCAGCGATTTCCGATAAGCGGAAGTGGGACTTATTCAAATTTTAGTTTTTCAAAAGCCTGTAACTTGAGTACTGTTTCAGACAGATAAACGAAAGGTTTAATTTTCTGCCTTCTGTCAAATTTAGGGCAATTTTCGTTGATCGGAAGTAGTAATTTACGCTACTTCAGATTTCTCAAAAAAACAAACAAAAAAAACGAAAATATGTTTATAAAGTACTAATAATATTCCGCACTATTATAAGTATATTGTTTTCCATTTACTTGGTGCGCAATTCTTTTTTTCTACGAGATTCTTTTCTATTTTAAAAAGTTTAAGTGATTGATTACAAATCGTGTCAATATCCCGCGTTGCCATCCCCCGTAATGTGCATAAAAATATTCGAGAAAGTTTAGGGTAGATCACTCCCGGTTTATTTCACTAATATAATTCTTTAATACAATAAAGCTGCATGACTAAAAACAATTGCGCACTAAATGAACACGAAAATTGTGCTTAAAATAGCGCGGTAAATATTACTTTATATAGGAAATTTTAATTAAAAATTAATTAATCATCCAATTAAATTAAAATTGATGTGAGATTACATTTCATCTGGTCTTGACCAACCTGTCAAGTTTCAGATGAATAGATCAGTTAGAAATGATCGAAATTGAGCTCGCCGTTTCGATCCATGAAGACCGACAAATGCACGACAGCGGAAGCAAGTTCAATAAAAGCTTGTAAGAGGCGAAATTCAAATTTAATGTATTTAGAAAATATATTCATTAACCTATGTCCATCCCATCCTGAAAGTTTAAAGTGCCCCCACCCCTAAAAGAAACACTGGTCATGTCATTGTGAACTCTACATTTCATAAACATTGTAGTACGTGCGCTACTAATAACACAAGAATCGACTCAACAATTTTTAAGAATTATCTTTATCCTTATATTGGCCTACACATAGCTGCTATTTAAAACAATCTAGTCTTTTTATGTTATTATAACAAGGCGTCAAGAAGAAAAGCTAGGCCACAATGCTTTGATAGATAGATGTTGTAGACTTAATGGCCCGGGGGGCAGTGTTTCTTCCAGACTATTTTCTCCGGGGGGGGGGGCACTTGAAATTTTCGAGGGGGAGGGGCGGAGTAAAATTTCCAGGGGGCGGGGGGCGAACTGTTATATATTTTCTATATAAATTCAATTTCGTTCGCTCCGCCCCTGTTACGTCCGGGTTAGATTCGAATTCAAGAACGACTCGGGTTAACGTTCGATACGTTTATTAGGTCTCACATATCACATCACAACATAGCCCTCGACCTAACCCTGCCAACTAACTAACCCCTGACAACCATTCACTCCAGCTTTTATACCGCATTCGACCTTGGGATAACAATACACAAACACACCGGGGTTAACAATATTCTAGGGTAAACTCAACTCACACACTCACTCTCCCCTAATTCTAGATCATTCTATCCTATTCTAGTCTAACCTACAACTGACCTGTAACACTACCCCCCACCCAAGTATTTGTAGTACATACTACAAATACTAACTAAATCCCCAAATCCTAAGTTAACCTAGAGGGCGAAAACAAACAGAGACAAAATAGATAAATAAATAAATAAAATAATTTAAAAAAAAAAAAAAAAAAAAAAAAAAATAATGATTTGACAGGTATACTACACCAAGAGGAGAGTAAATAAATAATGCATTTATACATCTCTTTGTACATGAATCCAAGACAAACAACCGAGTAAAAATAACTGAAAAAAAACAGCAAAAAAAAAACAAACAAACAAATCTGTGGTTTAAATTATAATTTACATCTCAGACTCCCGATCTAAAATTTCTTGACAAAAAATCAGCTAGAAGATTATCCCTCCCCGGAATGTGTTCTATAGTAAATTTATATTCCTGTAGCAGTAAGGACCAGCGTGTCAGTCTGGCATTATTGAACCTACATTTATGAAGGTATTTTAGAGCACGCTAGTCCGTCTGCAGTACAAAGCTAGCGTTGTATAAATACAACGCTAGTTTGCCTGTGGCCCAGACAATTGCTAGGCACTCTCTTTCTATAGTAGAGTACCGAGTCTCTCTCGGTTGGAGTTTTCTACTGATGTATTTTACTGGTCTTAGGACCCCATTTCTCATTTGCATCAAGGCTGCCCCGATACCTCGTGACGAGGCGTCGGTCCTGAGAATAAATTGCTCATTAATATTAGGTAAAATAAGAAATGGTTCTGAGTTCAAGTGTTTCTGGACCAGTCTTAAAGCACGGTTACATTCATCTGACCACACGACCTTTTCAGGTTTGCCCTTTGCTACCAAGTTTGTCAGTATTGCGTTGGCCTCGCTGAATTCTGGTATAAATTTAGCATAATACCCTATAAGACCCACTAATGATCTTACCTCTTTCTTTGTGGTGGGTATTGCTACGTTTAAGATTTTGTTTACCTTGTTTCTCTCTGGTGTCAGTAGCCCCCTCCCCACTATGTGCCCTAGGAAATTAATTTTTTCAACCCCTAGCTCTAATTTGGTAGGTCTTACTGTCAGGCCCGCGTCCTTCAATCTATTGAACACCGCCTTTATTGCTATAAGGTGTTCCTCCCATGTCTCGCTGTAGATACAGATGTCATCAAAAAATGACACCACATTTTCCAAGTCTTTTAATACGACTCGCATTAATCTGGCGAATGTGGCGGGTGCCGTGCATAGGCCAAAGGGCAGGTAATTAAACTGAAATAGGCCCCAGGGTGTGACAAATGCGGTGAGTTTTTTGCTGTCATTTTGCATGGGGATCTGCCAATACCCTTTTGTGAGGTCGAGTTTAGTAAAATATTTTGCCCTATTTAATTTAGCGAACAGCTCATCTGTATCTGGGATGGGTTCCGCGTCGTAGACTGTGACTGCGTTAAGTCTCTTATAGTCTACACAGAACCGTGTCGACCCATCTTTTTTCTTAACTAGTACTACGGGTGCGCTGAAGTCGGAGTCGGACCTCTCTATTATCCCCAGTCTCTCCATTTCGTCCATCTCTTTCTTCATAAGCTCTCTTCGGGCGTATGGTATGCAGTAGGGTTTCGTTCTTATTGCTCTGGTGTTGGTCAGTTTTATTTTATGTTCTAGTAAACTTGTTTTTCCAGGTAAGTTGCTAATTACAGCTGTGTACTCGGATAATTTTGTCTAGATCCGTCCGCTGTGTTTTTGTCAGGGTGTTTCCTATTTTGATATCACTTAACTTAGTTTCCTCCAGTATGTCGGGAGTTTTTATTGTGTCCAATGGAATACCCGGTACCATGTCCTCCTCATCTGTTAGTGAAACTTGGTTTTCTTCTTCTGCCTCCACCACTCCTGACACTGCCGCTAACATGGGGTGTCCCTTGCTGTCGTCTGGTTTTTGTCTGTGATGGTACAGCATCATCCGATTTACATGGACCACCTTAGTGCTGTCCCCTGTTTTAATAACATAGTCCAAGTCTCCGATTTTTTTTAAGACTTCGTAAGGTCCCGCCCACCTTAGCTCAAGTTTGTTTAATAGTTGGGGCTTCAGTATCAGCACATGATCCCCCACTTTGATATCTTTGGTTGTGGCTGATCTATCGTAGTAGCTCTTTGCTTTATCTTTCTCATTTTCCGATTTGCGGGTTGCATAACTGCATGCCGTTTGCAACTGCTGCTTAAGGTCCAGCAGGTAGTCATATGCAGCTCTTGTCTTATATTCCCTTACTTCTCCTGTGAGGATATCCTTTAGGATGCTCATCGGGCCCCTAACTTTCCTGCCGAACATAAGTTCGAATGGCGGGTAACCAGTGCTTTCGTTTGAAACTTCTCTGTAGGCGAAAAGTGCTGCTGGGATGAACACGTCCCAATCGTCATCCTTGTCTATAGCTACTTTCTTTAGCATTTCCTTCAAAGTTCCATTCCATCGTTCTACCGCCCCGTTGGCCATGGCGTGATATGCCGAAGAGTGAATGATTTTAATCCCCAACATTTTAGACACGGTGCAGAAAATTTCCGACGTGAACTGTGTCCCGTTATCTGAGAGTATGACTTCCGGGAATCCCATCCTCGTGAAGATGG